TGTAGCCATAATATTTACAACCACAACACACTTTCACATTACCTTAACTAATCATTGCAATGGAGGAACATCAACTTTTCCATCTAATATCTGTATTCTTAATCTTATATACTCTACGTTGTTTTTTTTTTTTTGCTTACATGTTGACTGAACTGGTTGCATTTTAATTTCAGGTTTAGACTAGCTCATAGAAGCGGCAACAAATGTGTAATAACAACAAAGTAAGGTATATTAGCGCCAAATTCAAACTGACGCAATTTCAAATATTATAAGTTTAATCATGTTTATTTATATTTTCTTATCATTAAGAAAGCTAGATAAATACTTCATTTCTGCAACCAAATAATTTCCTAATAGAGTTGAATTCTTGTTTCGAAGTTTAATGTCCGAAATATTAAAGATTTTCAAACATTACCTCTGAACTTACCTTCCTTAATTTAGTCCGCAGTATGCTTTTTTATTTTTCACTTCTAAGTAGTTATTTAATTCATTTTGATAGTTGATTCGACTTGTACTGTACATGAACATACAAAATATCTTCTACATCATTGTTTGAAGAACCTGCAACAGACTCGCCTCTTTGCTCAAATAAGACTACTGCATGAATGTGTTTACACATTGTTGTTTTTACTGCATACTCTGGACAATTACACTGATATCTGTGAATGCAAATTTTACACTTGTTACAGCCTTCATCACACAACTCGTTATAAGATACAAAATATATTGAACGATCCAGATGGTCGTTATGAATAAAAATAAACAATTTTCATTCTATTTTATTAATTACGATGATTACACGACTTGAACACTCAGATATTTGAGAAAACTATTCCGAATATCATGTAAAATCTAAAATGTTCTAAGTCAACTGAGTGCAAATAAAATATTTTTATAAAATAAAGACGAGAATAGCGTACGGTACGACTAGACTTTTTACTGGAGACTTGAATGCATCTTGTGCTCGTTGTTCTCCCTTATGTACTGAGATTTGACCTCCTTTGATAAAGATAAACTCCACATGGGCTGATGTAAAAGCTCGCATCAGAATTACAGCTCAATCTAGAGGCGAATGTTGATAACGAGTACGAAACAATGAAAGTTCGTTGCTCTAAATCTCGGTACACATCTGACCGCACATGCAGTGAGAACGCATGAATATGTGTGCGTTCTCGCGTTCTGTGACCACACACCATTCGAAGTAAAGATGGCAGATGAAGTGGTCATTGCGAGGGCCGCTTTCATCATTGTTTATAAACTTGTATTAAACAAGAAAAAAAAAATAGACGATGAATTATCAAAACATTTCATTTCAATGATGGTTCCAGAAGTGTGTTGTGCTTTAATCGAAGCCGTACAAAATTACGTTAAGGTATGTATATTAGGTAATGAAACCATAGTAATTACTTTAATACAAACATTTAATTGTGTAAAACTATAACTGATACAAATTTTTCTCGACAACCGTATTGGTAGTGTTATAATTTGATGACTGTGGATTAAGCAGACGGGTATCAGACACATATTGAGATTGGGGTCGTCGGAGCATCGTAATATCCTACATCCGCTTCAAACAGGATATTATAAATGGCATGTTTAACATATAGCTGTGTTCTGGGAGTGTATGTTCTCAATTTCGCTACTATGTATTGATATATTTCACATCAGATTCAGACAGCTTTTTTACATAATAATGTGGTAGGATATGGAATGGCACTTACCATGTACATCCTTTGCACTTAGAATATAGAGCATGCATAAACAAGTTCGGTTGACAATTTTTCTGGAAATATATCCAGCGATATATGTTTGCACAGATATATCATTGGAACTTACTTCGACGGATTGATATGCAGTTACAGCATCTTTAAATATTATAGAAATATCAGCCTCTAATCTATCCGAATTAACCGTTTCTTCGCAATCTGAAAGAAATTTCTTTATTTCAAACTGACTATGTCTAGCCAATTGCAATTCTAATAAAGAAAGAATGTTTATTTTCTTCTCTGATTCCAAGATTTATTACAGACTAATGTGATAATTTTGCCCTAACATAAATCGGTATTGCCTGAAATGGGCTTCTAGAGGATCAATGTGAAACTTTCCTAATGAAACAATGAAATTAAAGTTAATGTGGTTTGACGTAAAGTTTGATCTGTTTCCTTAGTAGTTAAGCCAAGACACATTTTTTTTTTTTTAGAAAAAGGAAGTTTTTGTCGTTTATATTTTTATTAGGAATCCGCTATGGATCTCTTTCATGTTCTTCAAACGAAGATTTGCAATGTACCATTTTCCACAAACGTAAAATTATTACCAAACATTTTATAGTTCCCTCAGATTTTTGTGGGTATTTAGTTCGTAAGGCAGTAATATTTTTTTCATAAAAAAATCGTACACAAAGCTTGACATTTTGGCTTTTAATGTCAGTGCGATTTAAAACTTTTCTATTTAAAACCGGAGCGTGTTTGACAATATTTGTTTCGTCTCTTTGAATAATTTTTAAATGATTAACGCATGCTCGAAGGTGTTAATTTTTTTCATTATCAACGAAATTATCTTCATAATAAGGAAAAACAAATGTCTGTTCTGAATCTTTTTGATTAATCCAGTTATTCCTGATACCTTTAAAAAGGTGAACGGTATCAAATGCTAACAGTTTTTCATTGTCATTGAGACAATTTTTCTAAGTCTTCCTACGCAATTTCGGACAAAAGAACACTCAGTAGGACAAGGCTCAACACGGCATTACTTGGGTATCGATCGAGTGGGTACTTCTCGTCTTCGTGGCACACTGGATTCGACTTATCCTTGTACCTTCGATTTTGCTATTTTTATAACGCCTGTTAAAGTTTAGCAACGAATAACTTTTTACCAAATTTAAATATACACAATTTATAACACGGTTGAAAAACAATAACGTTTCTTCACACGTGTACTTCATTTAAAATGGCGAATGGTCTACTACCTTTATTTTTTTTTCAATTTCTTAGGAACGTCCTTAATCATATTTTGGATGAAGGCAGGACTAATTTCTTTTAGCTTTCTCTTAATTCGTCCAACTAGCTGTCGTGCCCAAATTGTTTTTGGACACTAACAAAATTATTTATTTGGGTGTAGGCCCATTTCCTTGGAAATGGAAGGTTAAACTGCATGTGGGGGAAGAGGTAATAATTAAAGTTTTTTTTAGTCGATGAATATTCCATTATCTGAAACTGGATTTTATTTCTCTTAAAATCGAAGGATTTAAAATATTTAATTATGCTGAAATCTCCTTTTTTTGATTGCAGATTTTCTGTTGACAATGTTTTCCTGTCGTATCGATGTTTCTGTTTGTTGCACTTCAGGACTTGGTGCTTCGTCTTTTTCTTGTATTTGTTCTTCGGTCTCTATTTTCAACTCTTCCATAACCTGCGCAACAATTTCTGTTCGTCATCAGAAAAAAATTCTAGTTCTGAAACACTTAATTATTTAATAAACTACGATTCGGTATTTACACGCTAGCTAAATGCTATCAAAACTGCGAAAACAAGTAAAACTAAAAATTCAGTGGAAATCAAATAAATATTCCCCTGAGAAGAAAGAAAAACTAAAACTGACCGGATTAAAACATGCACTTAAATCTACGCTAATTATGAAAATAAAACATTCAAAAAAAGAGATAAATAATTTTTACTTTAATGCGCTAAATACGCCGGGCGCGAACACTTGTTCACGAGAAAATCAGCGGTTACGGGGTGGTCAGATAAAAGCAAAAATAGAAAGTCAGATCCTTTTGGCGAAACTAAACGCAGAGCAAATAGTACTATAAATGCTCTATGGCAAAATAATCAGAGAACGGGATGATATTGAACGGTAATAAACTCAATGAAATTATCAGCTACAAAGGATCAGATTAAAGTGGTTCCGATTTGGAAACCCCCCAAAAACCTATCTAAAATAACCAAGTCGCGAACGCAGGGGTTGAATTCGCAAACCGAGGAAATGTTGAATTTATTTTCTTCTTTCTTCTTACTGGGTCTCAGCAAATTTTTCTAAGTTCGGATTTCTTCAAAATTTAGCCAATAATACAGCGTGACCCACGGTAACTCGCAATTTGAATCCCAAATCATTTTCTGCGTTACTGTTTTGCGATCTTTGTACGTTTAAAAAAAAAAGGTTAATTCAAGCAAATCGTAACACTTTATAATATTTACTATACGATGTTTACATTTAGAAATATAAGTCAGAACTAAACTAATTTTATTTACACAGGATTATTTATACCTATTCTAAAAGGAAATTGTGGTGTGTTTTATTTGTTGCGTGTTTTTATTGGTGTACGATTCTGCGCATGTTGTTCGCAATGTCAGACAAGCGCAATGATATTTGAAATTTGCGAATATGCGAATTTTGTTCTTACACTTTACTTTGGATCTACACAATTCTATTAGCAGTGAGATGTAGTAGCAGTTGTAATTTCACTTCCACGTGACTGTCGGTATTTTCAGTAAAAGTACTGTGTGGATAACAATTTTCTTGTAACCTTATTAAATTATACTGTCTTTTACTTGATTGCGCTTCAATTAATAAAGATGGACCTTCATCAGGTGTTAATGGTATTGGTCTATTTTCTGACTGCAACCAAACATTTCTTATTTTTGCAGCTCGTGTGGGAGTTGTAAGCAAAGCTTTTTTAATAACTTCTGCACCATCATGTTGGCCTGATTTTCTTAGGTACATTTGTGCTGCATGTCAGTTACGTTAACGAAAATTTTTCTCTTAAATCTTTGGTTTTACGATTTTTCCGAAACTTCTTCCAATGACGTTTAAGAACGTCCACGATGTACACCTGGGGAACTCGGTGAAGGACCCCAGAGCAGAGGTGCCCCACCTTCATCGGACCCACCATGTCGTTAGCTGTTGTGGATACTTCATTTACTGGTTTATGGTTTCAGGAGTCGACAAAAAGGCTTATTTTTTTCATATTTTTATTGTTAATAAAAATTACAAAATTTGGGATTCACAAGTATACCGGTAGGAAAAATAGGAGTAGGTATATAGTGGGGCTCCTAAGCCAGGTCAAATGAGATCAAACTGGCCTAGTAGCACCACAACTTCTTATCGAACGTGTGTGTATTCTGCAGGACATTGTTACCAGTTGCTGGTTGACGTATGTTATAGTACTCACACTGCCACTAGATGGTACCTCAAGCGCATTTCAAGGAGAAATGGACTGAAGTCGTTTTTCCCCACCACCCTTCATTTCATTAACCATTTCACGGCTGGCACGTTTTTCTATGTATGCAGCCGAGAACCGGGGATTAACAAAATGTCTTTTTTTTAGTCTTGGTGGACTGCCCCATCACAACGTCTTGTGTCAGTACTTCCTTGTGGTTTATCTTGATGATATTTTTGAAGTATCTCTTTTATAGGGTGTACCTGAATAAATATTTATTAGTGTCATGTCTAGTAGATGGAAAAATACCTGTTTATACCATTTGATGGTTTTTATGACGGATCTGTAGAACTTTCTAGCATATCTATAACTTCACTGGAAGTCAAAATTGTTCTTCAAATTTTCTGGACATCCTTACTTACTAATGTCTGTAGATTATTTGTAAACCATTTTGCGAATGAACTAGTGTTTTAAGCATTCACTTACTGTACATACGGACAATTTCTTATCAGAAATTATTGAAGGTTTCTTCTTTGTCGGTAGTCCTCTTTGACTGATGCGGAAGGTTCCAATTGACTAAAGAGGTCTTAATTTGAACAGTTTGTCATGTTTCGAGTCGTACGCCTGCCCGTCTGTGCGATGCGAGGTGGCGCCTTCGTCGGGGCGGTTTGCTCGGGCGCCAATTCCTTCTTAGGAAGGGTGCACCTGGGTTGCTGTAAAACCGAAAATACTCCGGTGAATATTTAAAATAAACATTTTTTGTCGCTTGCGGCGACGCTGAAACTGGGATGACGGGGACGGTACACTGAAAGGGTAATAATAAATAAATAACTCGGTAGTTATTAGTCGGTATGGTGGTCAGAGCATTTGCACTTTCATGTTTGCCATGTTTTTCTATCATCCTGGTTTCCGGTCCGCACAATTTACATCGTTACATGGTTTGTCTGAAACGACAGACGTCCGGTTTGAGACCGGTTATTGTTAGGTATTCTACAATTTTTTCGTGGTTGTTTTAGGAAGCTGCGTGGTGTCGCACCATCACAATAAAAATATACATAACTAGCATAATACATTTGTCGTAATTTACTAAAATATACTAAATGCCTGACAAATGTATGTACTGCCTTATTTCTTGATAACGATTGGTGGATATGCATCCTCTCTCTCTCTCTCGGAAGTTGGTGGTACCTCGTAAAAAGAAAAATCCTCAAATAATCTAGAGGCAAACTGGAATTCTGGTAGTCATCCTCGTTTAGTTCCCTTTTTCTTTTTTCATTTTTGGCAGTCTTCATCTTTTCCAGAGACTGTTAAAGTAACAAGTTACGAGTTGTATTGAATGAGGCTCATAAATTTGCAATTCTTTAAAACTTACCAACAAATGTAAATGGTTTTCACTGAAACATTCTTCCTTTTGTTCTTTTATTGGGTGTCCCAGGACTTGCACATAAACACTTACATTTTTAATAAGACGTTTATTGTGTTCTTGGTGGAGGTTTACACGTAACTTCTTTAACATTATTAATTCTCTCTATTTAACAACACTTTATGCTTATTCTGTATATCATGCATTTTCACCATTCGTCGATGATCCGATGGGCACTTATAATATTGCTTAGTTATTTCCTTAAACTGTACTGGTTCATCGTCCGGGTTCATTGGCTTGCAATATCGTTACATTACATCACAAAAAGGAACAAATGTCAAAGCAATGAGAAGGCGTCCTTTGCAATAGTGGTTATGATTTATAAAAGTAGGTAATATAGAATACCAACAGCTATAATATAATATTGCAATAAACTCAACAACAGAGGGTAGCTCATTAAAAAATTAAATGTACTTGATTCAGTGTAGTGGGAATGAATGGGTTAATACGTTGCTATTCCCCCTTTTGCCTACTACATGGAAAACAAAATCTTTATGCATAGACTTGTTGCATTTTAATCCAACTTTTATTATTTATTTACAACGAAATCCCTGAATAAGATTTTTAATCCTATTCTAGGAACCATTAAATAATGAAAACTTATCTCTGACATACATATTTGTGGCGGCACTCCTCTGTTATCTAATCACTGAAAAGGCTGCCAAACATTTTATTTGTATTGGAATGTTACATCAGTTAAACTTGCCTGTAAATTTGCACTCCACTGTGGTCGTGATAGTGTACTTCCGCCTCTACGACATTCTGGCAGAACGACACAAGTCCATTTGGCAACTTTTACAGGAAAAGAAACGTGAATAATGTGTTTATTAACAGTAGGAATCCATTGTAGTGCTTAGTGGTCAGTGTTTTCTTATCTAGTGGTAAGTTTTTCCATCTCTGGCATTTATCTTTTTTTGGAACATGAATATATAGCAACCTTTTTTAACAATAGTACAAAGGTACCACAGCTAGCGACTGTAGGTGTGGTTAAATGGCGTCTGTCCAAACTTCACATCGCTTTAACTCCGACACAATTTTTTTTTACTGTTTTCGACGTAGAAAAAAGTGCTTGTCAGTGACGCCAAGATGTCCATTTGTGCCGTTCTGTCGATGATGCATCGATAGGTCGCTCGTTATGTTTGGTTCTCCATATTAATAATTATTTATATCTTCTTGCATTGCGCCGCTTATCAATTTGAAATTGGAAAGAACACACCTATGAAAGCGTGCGGACGAGTTCATTCCGGAATTTAGGGGAGGAAACTGTACTGGTCGTACTTAAATCTGGCTTAACCTAAGAAAAATTCAAACATCTAGCTTATTATAGTCCCCGATTTTGGGCGGCTATTCCTAGTCTGTTCCCTTGTGTCTCTGATCAAACTCTCGCCATTACTTGTCATTCCAGCAATTTTGCAAAATACTAAAAATCAGAGCTCCAAGAAGATCATAACAAGAGTTTTAACTTTGATATCGAGCAGTTAGGGAAAATGGCGAAAGCCCTCCACATGGACTACAGTGTGGCGTATTTCTCCCTTAACTGTCTTGATTTTATTCAACTTTAAACGAGGTAGTAAAATGGATTAAGTAAATATTTCCCCTTGTAACAAAATCTAGATAGTGCAATCAATGAACTTACTATCTCTACATCTACTGGTTTCGATGAAAATTAGAGTAGTGACTTGAAACGTTTCTTTTTTCTACTTCAGTAGAACCCCGTTGGATTGTTGTCTCTATTTATTCTATCTGGTGAAGAACCTTTATTAAAATCTTCTTTCCAATATTGTGTATCTTTCAAATTTTCAACTGTTTTGGGGGACTGTGTTTGATACATAGTCGAACCTTAGGGACAAAAAAATGTTTGATGCGATTCATCGTTCTGTAGAAATAATAAATTATAATTGACATTATTAGGGGAAAGTGGTGCACCTTGAGATTATTTTGGCTTTCCATATTTTTTTTAGAGTAATTTCCAACACAAATTAATGACTACAACCGTAGGCACACTGTAATAGTAATTTGCACTGTTGGTGCGTCAATTCCAGTGGCGGCCCGTGACTTTTTTTCTCGAGGAGGCCACTATTGTAGGATTATTTTTATAAATTTGTGCATTATTAAGAATGTACCTTGCTGTTTCCAATTTCACTGCACAAATTCAACGCAAAAATAAAACGTTTGACAAATAATATTTTTATGTTCTTTGATTAGGATTGACGATATATACCGATCAAATAATTTAGCTCTACTCAACGTCATCGTTAAAAATACATCTCCTCTTCGAAAATAACTGTTCAATAATAATGTTTAGAAATTTTGTATAAATATCCATCACAGTACATATAAAAATTGGTGTCGAAAACTGTGAAATTTGTTGCATATTTTAATCATATTTAAGACCCACCACTGACCCGGAAAAGACCGGCATTCAGACAAGACTTATTATCATTACAAATACAGAGACTAAGATAATAATGTTATGCATTGACAATTGCTTTTAAAACTTACCTGACCATAGATTGCCCCCGCGAGTCTTGTGATACCATACACTAAATTATTAAGGATCATAAAATTATTATGTATTTATTTAAGAGACTATATTTTAATGGAATCCGTCTTTCCTTTTTAGAAGCAAAATGATCTAGAATTTTGTCATAAAATAAAGGTTGTTTCATTAAATTTCGTACAAAGTCTTTTTTTATTGAAATTATTGCTAAATCTTGCAAACGATCCTGTTTTTAAACGTTTTAAGGCAGAAAAACTTCGCTCAACTGAAACCGATGTTACAGGAATTGTAAGAATAATACATAAAAGTTTATAAATTTCGCTATACATGTATGAAGATCATTAACTACTATAAAATTTGACGTTTCTATTAAGGAAGCACAATCTTCTAGAATATATGGATCATTGTAAACAGCACGCAGCTGACTTTCTAATTTACTTTTATCAAAAACGTCGTAACGTTCACAAAGATTACCAATTAATTGAATGTGAAAATCTTACGCAAAAGTTCGAAATTTTTCAAAATTTAGCAACTCAAAACACTAAATTTTCAATATCTAGGAACCTTACTTTTATCTGATCAATAATAATTTGTAATATTTGATCAAATTTTTCCTTATAAATCGTTTTTGGTTCATCATAAAATCGAGTTCTTTTTGTTGGTTGTTCAAGATTATCCGTAAAGTCCCTAAAAATTTTATTAAAGTGTGTTTCCTCTTTTTGAAATCTCATTAGTATATCTATTAACTTGATTCATCTTTTCTTAGCGTATGAAATGTCTGTCAACTTATTTTATAAAATATTAAAAATTAATTCCGTTTGATCAAAAATTAATTTAAATGTGTATAAATAGAAACTGAAATCAAAATCTTTTAACAAATTCTTTTTTTTTGCCAGAGACTAGCAAAACTCACTATCAGTGGCGGCTCGTGACTTTTTCTGTTGAGGGGGCAAAATTAATACACAGTATTATGCTAAATTTAAAATTTATGCTAGGTAAAAATTATTGTTTCTTTTTATTAAAAATTTAGAAAAATGTCAAGTTAGAGGTCCGTTAGCCAGAAATTATTGATTGAAAATTGATAATTGAAAATCGATAATTTCTGTTTACCATCTGGAACCACGAGGAGGTGGACCTAATTCCAAACTTCCCCAACGGTGATGGGGCGAACTCAAAGTTCCTTTTAAATTTGTGGACATAAGAAATATAAATAAAATTTTGTTAATCGCATGTCCAGTAGATGCAATAGGTATCCCCCACTTTAAATTATTTTCAATTTTTTAAATTAATGTTTCTATATATAAAATCCATACGTCTTTCTTTGTTACGAACAAAATGTTCTATAACTAGCTCATTGAAATTCGTGGTTTCTTGCACTAGTTTTTTTTTCTATTGAACACATTGCCAAGACACACAATCTTTCTTGACACATTGTATTTCGTAAAAATGTCTTTATACGTTTTAACGTCGAAAAACATCGTTCGCATTCACTTGTCACCATCGGTAATGTGCAAATAATTTTCAATAATTTTTTTGTTTCTGAAAACACGTCTAATAAATTGTTTTCATACATAAACTTCAAGAATGTTAAGGCACCATTTGCTGTCGAAAAATCGGGATGATTATAAATAACGTTCAACTCATTTTTTAACACATTAAAATTTAAATCATATTTTGTAGCACATAATTCAACTTCTTTTGGTGGAAAATTTATTTGAAAATATGAAAATAAGCTAGTCTGAAACAAATTTGCTGCTGTAATATAATCTGCTTCTAAAAATCGATCATTTATACTAAATTTAATATTGTCACAAATTTCTTTAGCAATTGCAATTTTATTATCATTAAAACGAGACCGCTTTTTTGAAGATTCACCCTCTTCGTTTTCTTCTCGATAATAATCGTAGTCGATAGAATCTGTTACATGTTGTATGGCAAGTTTAAAAGAAGTAATGTTTTTCTGAAGTTTAATTAAGTCCATTTCGCGAATTTAAAGTTGGTTGAAAAGTATCTCGGTACTAGGCATGATTCTGTGAAAGAAGTATAACCAAAAATTAAAATCGTAATCTTCTAATGTTTTCCGTAAACTACTTGCCTTGGCAATTGTTAATTTATCACTATTTTTATCTTCCATTATAATTTGAAAGCAGTTAATCAAATCATTTTTAAAACTATGTACAGTATTAACTATTCGTGACTTAAAGTTCCATCTAGTCGGACAATTTCTTGGTAATCTTTTAGAAACGATATTATCAAGTATTTTTATACGTTTAGGAGATCTTGAAAAAAACGAGGAAAATGATTCTAAATTTGAAAAAAAAATTCTTACTTGGCTGTGTGCTGATGCCGCCTTTTCTATAATTAAATTCAACTGGTGAGCATAGCAGTGAATAAACTGAGCTTTAGGGTAATGTTCCTTGATTTTTGCTTGTACCCCATTTTGTCTTCCACTCATAACCGAAGCACCATCATAAGACTGAGATATAAGTTTTTTTGGATTTTGATTGATTTCAAGTTTTTCGAGCTCATTTAAAATAATACTAGAAATACAATCATCTGTGTGATCTGTTGGATTAATGAATCCTAAAAATCTTTCAAATATTTTGCCTTTCAATTCATATCTAACGACAAAAACCAGCTGCGACTGTGAAGCTACATCTGTAGTTTCATCAGCTAAAATAGATATATAGTCCGCTTCCAAAATTTCATCTTTGATTAAATTAATACAAACAGCATAAATTGAATCAAGTAGTTCGTTTTGTATGGTTTTTGAAAGACCCATAAAAACGCGATTGTTCGTTTTTTCTATATGAGATTTTAATGTAGTGTCAAGCTCTGCCATTAAATTAATTAAACCTCTGAAAATTCCCGGATTTGTAGAATCATGCGTTTCATCATGCCCCCTTAAAGCCAACTCAAAGACTCCACAAAATTTTATACCGTCAATCAGTTTACTTAAAATGTATCTATTCTGTTTTACCTGATCATTATGTTTCTCGACGTTCTCTCTATAAGCACTATTTAACTGATTTCTTATGTCTACTTTACCTAAGACTGCGAACGATACGTTGAGATTTAAGTGTTTTTTACTCGAGCGATGCTTTTTTACTTTTTCTCCCAAATGTTTTAAATCCGTGATTCCGGTTTCAGTCCAAGCTTTATCAACATCTCCGTTATTCATAAGGGTACATACAAAACAGAAAAGGGCGTTTTTCGCGTTGCAACCACATAACCACCACTCACTTTGATACATAGTCTTATTAAATTTTCGATGCACGAGTTTGTCTTTAACTTTACACGACACAGCAATGTCCAAATCGGGTCTTGGCGGTCCAACGTTTTTTATTAATAGTTTTTCATCATGGCTTAATTTATTTTCAGATTGTAGCCGCAAAATTCTCTCAATCGAATTCATATTGATATTATTGACAACTCTACAACACAGTTTTTTAAGTTTCTTAAAATCACTGCAAACGCACAGAAAACTAAAACTGACGAAGTTAGCAAATTTCACTCGACCGTTTTGTTTCAAAATCGATGACTAAATCGATAAAAGTGTATGCAATCGTATATGCATTTAAGTACTTAAGTTGCAGTACATAATTAAGACGAAGCGATTACTATGCCCTGCCGAGATGTTGCAATATCGTGCATTTGTGCATATAATCGCGAAGATTGCCAAGTACGGGTCAATGAAAATATTCACAATTTGGCAACATGCAGGACGGGCAAAGGTGTATGATACCCCACCGAGATGATGTCAGATTGTGTTCTGAACATAGGCAACTCGTAGGTTTCGTAATTAAATGCATTTTGATAATTAATAGCGCGAAATTCTCAGATTTAAAAATGTGCTTTCATTTTGGTGGGGCATTGCCCGTTTGCCCTTCCTGCACCAGCCGCCACTGATTATTAATAAAATCAAATACTTCAGTTAATTTATCATTTAATGACACCACTGTTCGAACAGCTCTTGATGTAAAATTCCATCTTGTCTGTACATTACTTGGAATTCTTTTGTTACATACTTGATCGAAAATATTACATCGTTTCGTTGATTTAAAAAAAAAAAAGATGAAAAACCCGTCAAATTTTGAAAAAATATACGGACATCCCGGCAGCTTTTAGTTGCATCGCTTACAACAAAATTTAAATTATGGGCATAACAATGAAAAAAGCGTGCTTGAAGGGCAATTGTCTTTATTTTGGCTTGAAGCCCATTAAATTCTCCAGCCATTACTGCTGCCCCATCATGTCTGAGATATGAGCTTCCTATTTAAATTAAATTTTGAGAATTCATTAATTAATAAATTGTACAAATGGTTTGCTGAACGACCTGCACTAACATCGAAAAAACCCAGAAAGCTCACTACGGGATTTCTTCTAACGACATAACGAAATATTACAGACAACTGGGATTTACAGGCTATATCTGTGTCTCATCAACTTGCCACGAAAAGAATGGGCTATCAAAAATTTCCTTATGGATCTCAGATTGAATTACGAACGCAGTGGATTCAATAATGTCATTTTGAATGGTTTTTGAGGTACGTGAACAAACTGACGCCTCATCTAAAAATAATTTCAATTTTTCTTTGTAATTAGACATTAATGAGACTAATTCCCGAAAATTCCCCCTGTTATTTGATTCTATTCTTTCATCGTGTCCTCTGAAAGGCAATTCCTGTAACGCTAAATACAATGCAATATTTGTTAAACATTTCATGATCTCACGATTTTCGTTAACTTTTTGATTGTAATTTTCTATTTCAATTTTCCTGGCATTATCGAGCATTTTAGCAATATTGTTTGATTTGCCTAACATCTGATATTTTACATGCGCGGAAATGTGTTCTGCTGAGCAAGAGTGGCGACTAATAGCTCTTGACAAATTTTTTAAGTCAGAAAATCCATTTTTTACCCAGTTTCGATTTTCGGCGTTAACTTTACCAAAAAGAATACAAAACCAACAAAACAGCTTATTATTATAAATACTACCAGTTAACCATTCACATTTATTATACCAATCTTTAGTAAACGAACGACACTTGGATCTATCTTTAACGGTCAAACCTGGCAGAGGTGTCGGTTTTCCATTATTTTTTAAAATTACTTTTGTCTCGTAATTCAGTGATGAAAAAGAGTTGGTTAGCAAAAACTTCACTACATCATCACAAGCATTTAAATCTAATGAAGCCATTATTGTTAATTGAAATATTTATAAAAATTGAATTTTAGTGCAGAACTGAGAATTTGTATTAAATCTTTGACTGATTTTAACTGAATCACGAAAGGATTTACGACAAAATGTTATTTACAAATTTAATTGCTTTGGATTAGTTCTATTACCAGTTAAAGTTAATGTACTCTTTTCTGTAACACGCTGTATATATTTTTTTTTAGGAAATAGCCCGAAACATGTAATCTTTTTTAACTGACAGGGTGTCTTCTAATTTTTGCACGTCCCATTGTGAATTATCCACACTTAAAGTTTCCAGTTTTTTTGTAGTATTTTATTCCTCTTCCCTGGATAATTATTTACGGTTGGCTATAAAAACTTCCTTTTAATATAAGAGAGGTATTTTTCGTAATTTTCCACAGAATTGTTACATTATCCCTTCCATTTTCTTCCAAAAATCGATCAAGTTTTGACCATAATCTGAGGTTATGTTTCTTTCTGCACACGTGTTTCTGCTGAAGACGCTGATTGGTTGAAGTCATCCCCACATTTGAGTGGTACTTACACCCCCATTCGTTTTCCAACTTCCGTTCAGACATGTTGTGTCTCATATTTTTATTTTTTCTTGGGTGTTTCGTGCACAGTGAACAATGCTTCTGTGTGCCTTTGAGTGTCTGCAATTTGGAGGATATTGTTCATACCGAAGATTTAAATTCCTTCAAGCTAAATATGTGGGGATTTCCGTAAGTTGTTTTGTAAACATCCATAAAGTATGTTTTTTTTTTCAAAAGTCTACAACGTGGCAATTTATATCAAAAATACACGTGGCAACATTTCTTTTGTGAGTCAGAAAGGGGTTAAGTTTTAATTATGTTTATTGGATTACCCGATATGTTATCATCAATCATTTCCTGTTTGGCTTTTTTTTAACGGATATTTAATTAGAAAAGTTTCTAATAGAAGTAGATTATCATTATTGACAGTCAGGTATTGCAACTATCAGATACAATACGTCTAATTCCCCTATGCGAAAGGGGAGTTTATTTCGTGCAACGCAACAGGTGGTGGATTCCGAAAAAAAACATACTTAAGTACAGCTTATAGATCACACTGAAGTTGGCAGTGTTACATACATTTTGGTATAGATGCGCAAGCGATACAGATGTATGCTGCAAAGTTAGATGTGGGAAACGACGACTCGACACGCAACTATTTACCAAAGACAAAGCAAATTTCGCCGAGTTTCCCTGGATGTTGGCAATCCTTTATCGGAATGACTACCACTGTGGAGCTTCTTTAATCCACCCCCAAGTGGCGTTGACCGCTGCTCACTGTGTTCAAAATCCAGGCCCTTATAAGGTACGAGCCGGCGAATGGGACCGTTATTCCCGGGGAGAGCCCCTGGATCACGAAGACCGTGCAGCTGAAAAGGTACACATTTAGGTATAAATACGTGTTCATTAAAACTAACGAATCGTCTCCTTGGCAGATAATCATCCATCCCGCATACAACGCCAACTCGCTGAAAAACGACATCGCTCTAATCATAGTCGACGAGCCTTTTCCCCTTCAAGACAATATAGGAGTAGTCTGTTTGCCCCATCAAAATTCGTATATTATTCAACAAGAGTGTTTAGTAACAGGATGGGGTAAAACGTCCCACCACACTCTGTGGCGTTCGAATATTTTAAAAAAGACGATTCTCCCAGTGGTTTCTCATGGTTTTTGTCAGATGTTGCTGCAATTCTATTTAGGATCTACATTTACACTGGATTCTACTTTCATCTGTGCGGGTGGTCAGAACAAGGACACTTGCCAGGGAGATGGAGGGAGTCCCCTAATGTGTGAGGTAGCAAGGACGGAAAATGTTTACGTACAATTTGGAATCGTGTCTTGGGGGCTGAAGTGCGGGACAACGGACGTTCCAGGAGTGTACGTGAGTGTAGTTCAATTCGTGCACTGGATCGACCGGCAGATGGCGCTGCATGGCTTCCACAGCAGTGTTTACGGGTAAGAAAAAATACGAATGATCGACCTTGCTCAAATCTAACATCTAACATACACATCGGACATATTAGTTAATGATTTGAATTAACAATTAATTGATCTGGACCTAGTTTGATCGTCCTTATACTCTGCAGACGTTTTTTTTTATGAACTGACCTGCCTAAACCGGGTATATTTGGGATGTCGCAAGAGGTAGTAGGGAGCAGCTGCCGTTACCAAGGTATCAAGGGCTTTAAATCAATAATCTAGTCCAGACGGTTGTGCACGAGTGCATTCATTCAGCCTTGACACTTGTTTGAGAACAAAGTATGTGCAAGTGAACGAACTTTTATATTTTTCTAATTAACGCACTTACTGAGAAAATATACTTTCGGCTAAGCAACTTCAGTTTTTTAGATCCAGTAAGTCATGTAAATTAATAAAAGAAAACTTAATCGTCGGACTGGTGTTTGTCACATGACAATAAGCCCAGCAAATTTACGTCAACACATTTTTAAGTAGTATTTTTAATTAATCTTTAATTTTTGTTTCAGATACGATCTTTAAAAAAGAGGCTCGGCTCGTTCCAATTTTTGAATCAGTCGTTGGCTAAGCAACGAGAAAAATTTGTAAGTTAACGATTTATTTTGGTCATATAAGTGTATTATTGTAGTTTGTTTTCAGAGGAGCCACGAGAAGAACATCGATAAGTCTATATAATGGGAGTTGTGCAATTGTTTCTGCGTCTGTTGATTAGAGTGAGACAGGTAATATTTTTATCGATACAGTGTATGTAGCATCTTCATTTTTATTTATTGCTTACTTAATAATTCACTTGATTCCAGGTTAAAAGTATTAGGCTACTGCTTGATATTTTAACACTTGTATGCCTCTTGTTTATTACTTATATAAGAATTCAAATTATTATTTGCCGCTACTTTATTGCAATTTATTTAGGCTATCTTTATAATAAGCTTATCGCACTTATTCGTCTTGTTACGTTAATTCCCAATTTAATTATTGTGTAAACTAGAACGTTGGTTAATTTTTGATGACGTAGTCCTGTGTTAGGTACATTTATTTCTAACTATTCTATCTTTACGAACGGAAAAATCTTTGCATACCTAGATTTTTTGATCTTGTTTATAGGGTTATAAATATTTTAGAAAATGTTGCTTGTTTTGTAACACTTGTTCGTACTTGTATGTATAGTTGTTATAGAATAAAACGTACCGTAACATTACAGCCACATATTTTTTCAATTCTATTAAGGTATCAAAAAATTTAAGCAACAAAAATTGTGAGGTTATGTGGCACTATTGGCTAGTAACTATAAACCAACCGACAGTACAGCGCTTATTATGTAAAACCCCAGCTTGTCTCACTAATTTGATTCGAAATTTTATAAGTGCCAAATAGCTTCACAAATTTGCGGTCCCTTTTAAAAATCAAAAACTTTTGTTTCAGAAAAATGGGTTTTGAAAAACGAACATATCAAAGAAGAAATCCGAACCGGGTGCTAAGTTTTGAAGGCGGACATACAAGTGTTTATAAAGTAATAATAATATTACAAATTTAGATTTAGTTTTTTTACATTTAAATTTGCAGGTTAGGGATACTCAACATTGATACCCTGTCATTATAGCTTTTCCATTTTCACTACAACCTGCAGCAAGCTCTATGAAAAAGGTAAATTATAAAATAGGTCGTTTTTAGTGTAGTAGATTCGTCTAAAACTGTGTGAAAAGTTTGACTTTTGAACTTATACTCAGAAAGATATTGTTGTTTTCACTGAAATATTAGACAGCCGACATAAAAGAAATGGCAAAACATTTTGTACAAAGTAGCTGAAAAATAGGATGTAAATGATAACAAATATTATATGATTGAATAAAAAGTCGTTTAGTCAGCCATGGAATTATTTTTTAGAAATCTGGTGATAACCAGATAAAAAAATGCCTGGAATAACTTACAATTTTTATTTTGCAAAGTTATTACCGAAATGAGGTCAAGCAAAAAAAAAAGCATACATGCGATGCATAGAAGAAGTTTGCGAACAACTTCTGGTAACCTCAAAAACGAACCACTGAATAATTTTTGTTTTAAATTAATTCTATGACTGGTTAGACTATCAGGTGGTATAACATGCACATGATAATTAACAATTATTAAGTTATTAATAAGTGATATGATAATTTGAGAAAAATCTAACATAGTGTACCTACATGAAATTTGGTATGATATAGTTAAAACACGTATTTTAATTTAGAAGAGTATTTCTGTTTTTCTCTGAATAATATTATTATTGTTAAAATGAAGATAAAAAAACATAATAAATCAAAATTTTATTAATACAGTAGTTACAAGAAAAAAATAAACAAAAATGATAAAACATAATAGAACACCTTCAATCTTCTTCGATATTTTCCGTCAAGTGTTTAGCATTATTGTTTACCGGTAAAGTTGGCCAAAAAATGCAACTTGTGTGGTGGGATAATGCTGCTTAAATTTTTAATATTTGTTTCTTTACGTTGTTGTGAAATGCCTGTTTTGTTGACGACTCTGAGGTTATTGAAAATTATTATTCTTATATTTAGCTGATAACATAACTAAAGGCAGTTCATTTCCACCAAAACTTGCTATAAAACAAGTTTCGCCTCTTGGCAGTAATTTTTGAAATATTTTTTAGTAGTGGTTTGTCTTTGTTAAGTTTCTGAATATACCTAGTATGGAGAAGAAAGATTTGGCCAAAGTTTGAAGTCACTAAATACCATTTCCTTGACCCCAACATTATTATTTGTAGACTTCGAACAGTTTTTTACGATATTAACAGTCTTTAAAATCGTAGCGTTTTGGATATTTTTTTTTCTGCCATGTGGTGAAAGCTATCTGCCGACATAAACGTACATATGTCCCGTCTCAAAATATTTTATTGTAATTTCTTGCGCAGCAGTTTGGTTACTATTTATGATTGTATTAAACAACTGAACAAGGACCAGTTTTTATTTTGACTGGTGCAGTTCAGTGGCGGTTGGTGACTTTTATTCTCGAGGAGGCCACTACTATATGATTATTTTTATAAATTTGTGCATTATTAAGAATGTACCTTGCTGTTTCCAGTTTTACTGCACAAATTCAACGCAAAAATAAAACGTTTGACAAATAATATTTTTATGTACTTTGATTAGGATTGACGATATATACCATTGGTTCGCAAACTGGGTGCCGCGGCACACTGGGGTGCCGCAGAACCCCCAAGAGGTGCCGTGAAAATTTTATGATTTTAATAAATATAAGCACAAAACCAACTTTAAAAAATAATAATTGATTCTCGATTCTCGGTTTTGGGAATTAAGAAAACAGATATAAACTTTTTTTGAATCAGAAAATATTGAACAATTTTTTGACCTCCTTCAAGACGACGTTTGGTATGCAAAACTAGCATATTTAACTAATATTTTTGAACACTTAACCCTTAATTACTCGCGCTTTGTCTTGTTTATTAATTGGTCGCACAGTGTATTTTATACACCATCACGTTTTTGGACTTTTTAAGCTTTTCTTTTATTTCAGTTTTATAATTTTTATGATTTTAACCAACTTGTACAATAAGAAAAATTCAACAATTCAAAATTCAAATTCAAAAATACTCTAGGGTTTTATTTAAATTTAGAACATACAACATAAAATAACTTTAAATTCACAAAAATGAGAAACAAAAAACAAAAATTCAATTCTAAAACAATGAGAATAAGACTTTATTCTTGCTCTTCTGTTCTACTTTTACGACAGCTTACGCATTCTTGTGTTTTTACTACGTGTTCTTTACATGCTAGTCTACCACACAAGTCGCATGTGATGGTTGTAACGCGATTTTTCTTACTTTCGCAAAAGACACATTTACCTCGATTTCTTGTAACATTCCTCTCAATGTTCGTTGAAGTTTTTTTATATTTAGAAAGAAAGCCTTTTATATCTATAGGAAGCGTCTCAATGTTTGCTCGAGTTTCCAGATGAGGCTTCATCAAAGACAATGCAACGTTTTTCAGAAAAATACGTCGTGGCTGTTTATTGGAGTCTATGTGAAAGTATTTATAAATTATGTTAGAGTTTATTCCCGCAATATTAATCATTTGGAAAAAAAGAACCAGAGGCCAGCGTCTTGTTCGTTTTTGTACCGAATAATTACCACACATTTCGTCAACGGTGTCAATTCCGCCTTTAGTAGAATTGTAAAACAAAACGATATCAGGCTTATTTGAAGATCTGTCGACAATATCGTCGGCGTGCATAGTCGAGAGTAGTATCACAGCTTTATTTTTTTTTTGGCAATAGGATACTAGCGTCATATCCTTCCGAAACGCAAATATTGAAGATGGAATTGGTCGTGATTTATTAGGTAATAGTTCGGCAGGTATCTCTTTTTTATTTTTTCTCAATGTGCCAACTAATGTGGTTTTTTTGTTTAGTAAATCCTCTGCAAGTGGGTAACTCGTGTACCAATTGTCAGTCGTCAAGTTTCTATTTTTTCCAACGTAGTCGTTTGTCAACCTACTGACAACTGCTTGTGGAGAATTTTCACAGACATAAGGTCCGTCTGGCTGCTTGCCACAGTAAAGCTCTAAATTAGACAAGTAAAATGTTTTGGAATCGCATAAAGCAAAAATTTTTAGTCCATACTTTGCCGGCTTGTTTGGCATATACTGAATAAAACTGCATCTTCCTCGGAAAGGAATCAGCATCTCGTCAATTGTCATAAACTCTCCAACGCAATAAGAGCCCTTGCAGTTTGCAACAAATGCATCAAATATATGTCGTATTGCTGCCATTTTGTCGGTTATGCGTCTGTTTTCTCTAGTGCCCACATCGTCAAATCGGACTACAGAAAGAAGAAACAAGAAACGGTTTGCGCTCATACAAGCTCGAAATATTTCTATTCCCGTTCCGTCGGCGCTAAACAATTCGTGAAAATTGGTATGACCTTGTTTTTTTACACCGGAGAGAATCAGCAGTCCCAAGAATGCCAAAAATTCTTCCTTATTTGTCTCACGTGCATCTCTCTCTCGCGCATAATTTTCCTGTTTTCTTCTGATAAAAATATTCGTACATCTTACAATCTCTTCAACCATCGCAGCATTTATAAATTTCTCAAAAGCAGATATTTCGTTTGATATCTCACTTTTTGGGACGAGGGGATGACAACGTTCTTTACAAATGTTTTTTGCAGGTGTCTTTGACTTTTTCTTCAGAGGCAATTTGCTCCATTCCAAGTTATGCTTTGTTTTGTAAACTGGACCATCGCCATCGTTTGCATTTTGAAGAGCTGTTGTTGCCGTAACTGAATAATCTGAATGTTCATCTTCATTTACCAAATTATCGACATTGTTATCGCCACTAGCCTCTTGTTCTGAATTGCTTTCATGTTCACTAAGTTCGAATTGTTCTTCGGAATCTGCTGAATCGTCTCCACCCACTATTTGTTCTTCAGATAGATCTTCATCATGAAAAGCAGCTAATTCTTCATCAGTCAAACAATTGGGATTCCTCACTTGGATTGGAAACCTGTTTTCAAGTGAAAAAATATTTTTGTAATCAGTTTTTGATCAAATTTTATTCGATGTATGTTTTATACTTTACACAATTAATACTTACATATTAAGTCGCACGGTGTAATTTGTACACAGGACAAAATCAAACTAATTTAATTAGCAATAACACACTGTACGGTCGCTGTTCTTAACCTCAAATGCTTATAAGAAAGATAAATGAGGAATACCTAGAAGCGCTTGCGCATTGAAATAGTTTTTAGCAAATGGCCGACAAAAACGTCAACTGCGTGTATTTTATACACGCATGCGAGTAATTAAGGGTTAAATAAAATATGTAAATTCAAATATGCAAAGTAGAAATGAAAATATTTTAACCTAAAGTGAAAAAATTTTGGCTTTAAAAGACAAGCTTAAATTATGGAAAAAATATTTATAAAACAATCTTAACATCAATTACATATTGTACAATCATGTGATAAAGTATTTTTGATAATAAATTAGTTACAATTAAAACTGTTCCTGGAGGGGTGCCGTCAAATTTTGTTTAATATTTTAGGGTGCCATCAATAATAAAAGTTTGCGAACCACTGATATATACCGATCAAATAATTTAGCTCTACTCAACGTCATCGTTAAAAATACATCTCTTCTTCGAAAATAACTGTTCAATAATAATGTTTAGAAATTTGGTAGAAATATCTACCAGAGTACATATAAAAATTGGTGTCGAAAACTGTGAAATTTGTTGCATATTTTAATCATATTTAAGACCCACCACTGACTCGAAAAAAACCGGCATTCAGACAAGACTTATTATTATTACAAATACAGAGGCTAAGATAATAATGTTATGCATTGACAATTGCTTTTAAAACTTACCTGACCATAGATTGTCCCCGCGAGTCTTGTGATACCATACACTAAATTATTAAGGATCATAAAATTATTATGTATTTATTTAAGAGACTCTATATTTTAATGGAATCCGTCTTTCCTTTTTAGAAGCAAAATGATCTAGAATTTTGTCATAAAATAAAGGTTGTTTGATTAAATTTCGTACAAAGTCTTTTGCTATTGAAATTATTGCTAAATCTTGCAAACGATCCTGTTTTTAAACGTTTTAAGGCAGAAAAACTTCGCTCAACTGAAGCCGATGTTACAGGAATTGTAAAAATAATACATACAAGTTTATAAATTTCGCTTATACATGTATGAAGATCATTAACTACTATAAAATTTGACGTTTCTATCAAGGAAGCACAGTCTTCTAGAATAGATGGATCGTTATAAACAGCAGCTGACTTTCTAATTTACTTTTATCAAAAACGTCGTAAAGTTCACAAAGATTACCAATTAATTGAATGTGAAAATCTTTCGCAAAAGTGTGAAATTTTTCAAAATTTAGCAACTCAAAAAACTGTAAATTTTCAATATCTAAGAACCTTACTTTTATCTGGTCAATAATAATTTGTAATATTTGATCAGATTTTTCCTTATAAATAGTTTTTGGTTCATCATAAAATCTAGCTCTTTTTGTTGGTGGTTCTAGATTATCCGTAAGGTCTCCAAAAATTGTATTAAAGTGTGTTTCCTCTTTTTGAAATCCCATTAGTCTATCTATTAACTTGATTAATCTTTTCTCTTGGCGTATGAAATGTCTGTCAACTTATTTTGTAAAATATTAAAAACTAATTCCGTTTGATCAAAAATTAATATAAATGTATATAAATAGAAATTGCAATCAAAATCTTTTAACAAATTCCTTAAACCGACGGCTCCTCTGACAGAATTATCATCTTTAATAATAAAATCAAATACTTCAGTTAATTTATCATTTAATGACACCACTGTTTGAACAGCTGTTGATGTAAAATTCCATCTTGTCTGTACATTACTTGGAATTCTTTTGTTACATACTTGATCTAAAATATTACATCGTTTCGTTGATTTTGAAAAAAAAGATGAAAAAAGCGTGCTTGAGGGGCAATTGTCATTATTTTGGCTTGAAGCCCATTAAGTTCTCCAGCCATCACTGCTGCCCCATCATATGTCTGAGATATGAGCTTCGTATTTAAATTAAATTTTGAAAATTCATTAATTAATAAATTGTACAAATCGTATGCTGAACGACCTGCACTCTAACATCGAAAAAACCCAGGAAGCGCTCTACGGGATTTCCTCCAACGATATAACGAAATATTACAGACAACTGGGATTTACAGGCTATATCTGTTGTCTCATCAACTTGCCACGAAAAGAATGGGCTATCAAAAATTTCCTTATGGATCTCGGATTGAATTACGAACGCAGTGGATTCAATAATGTCATTTTTAATGGTTTTTGAGGTACCTGAAAAAACTAACGCCTCATCTAAAAATAATTTCAATTTTTCATTGTAATTAGACATTAATGACACTAATTCCCGATAATTCCCCCTGTTATTTGATTCTATTCTTTCATTATGTCCTCTGAAACGGACAATTCCTGTAACGCGAAATACAATACAATATTTGTTAAACATTTCAAGATCTCACGATTTTCGGTAACTTTTTGATTATAATTTTCTATTTCAATTTTCCTGGCATTATCGAGCATATTAGCAATATTGTTTTAATAGATCTTGACAAATTTTTTAAGTCAGAAAATCCATATTTTACCCAGTTTTGATTTTCGTCGTTAACTTTATCAAAAAGAATACAAAACCAACAAAACAGCTTATTATAAATACTACCAGTTAACCATTCACATTTATTATACCAATCTTTAGTAAACGAACGACACTTGGATCCATCCTTAACGGTCAAACCTGGCAAAGAAGGTGTCGGTTTTCCATTATTTTTTAAAATTACTTTTGTCTCGTAATTCAGTGATGAAAAAGAGTTGGTTAGCAAAAACTTCGGTACATCATCACAAGCATTTAAATCTAATGAAGCCATTATTATTAATCGAAATATTTATAAAAATTGAATTTCAGTGCAGAACTGTAAAATATTGAAGTTGAAAACAATTAAACCTGTGTTCAGCTACAAAAATTACGTTTAAGTAACTCCCAAGAATATTTCGGTCAATTTCCGTTTAGCTAAATATTAGCAGCAAATTGACCTTCTTCAACCTGGTAGTGTCTACTTTATCTAAATTGTCTGGGACTGGTGCACCTGCAACGATATGCGAGAACACCCCCCGTTTCCAAGGTGATTTGGGGGGATTGAATCGATATTTTCGGCCCAGACAGTTAGTTGTGCAGGGCTGCATTCATTCAGCCTTGACACCTGTTGTTGTGAACACGATTCGCGAGCTGGGAATGGATTATTGGTAAGTGGAGTTAATGTGGTGGGAACTAATTTAACGTTAGATATCAATTATTTATACGTTTTTCAGTAAAATATCGTTACCTTCGGGTCCATAGAAGCATGCAATGACTCGCAAATGTGTAGATTTATTAAAATTTAAGTAAAGTTATCATTTATTTGGGAATTAATTTCATGGCTGTGATAGTGATTGGATTGCTTTTAGCTAATGTTATATATATATGATTGTCTAAGAATTGTGTTTACAATGAAATCGTAACGATTATAGGCAAACCTACTCTGAGTAATTAATCGTAATGTCTATTTAATGTATCATTAACTAATAACATTTTAATTTAAGTAAATAAAAAACAAATTCTTTTATGTACGTTAAGAGTAATTTATAATATCAATAAAGCTGCTTTTTCGTTTATTCAGCTTTACAGATCCAAGATCCGTGATAAAAACGAGCAACTGTGTTTATTTTTTTTTACTGTTTACAGTTCCCTTTATACAATACATTACGCAAATTATTACAGGCGATAAAACGGGAGCCGCTGGTACCCACGCGGACGGCAGTACTATTATACTTGATGTCTCCCTGTAGCGCCGTGGTTCTCTGCGCAACTGTTCTCGAGCGTTTCGTCGGGAAGGCTTATACTTCCCCTCGAGGCAAAGGTCGCCCAAGAGTTCATTACCGAAAGACATTAAGTCGGCGCATAACTAACACTAATTTGTCCTTGAGAGCATCACGCGCAAAATGATGACGAATGTCTATGTGTTTACTTTTCGCGTGGAATGTGGGGTTCTCGACGAGCTTCAAAGAGCTTCGTTATCACAGTGTAAGACCAAGTTAGTCAGGTGGTCAAACCCCAGCTCACTGAGACACCTCTGTAGGTAAATGGACTTCTTGACGCACTTTATCTCCTGTACGCACAATTACCTTTTCCATGGGACGACCACCTGTGGCGTTGGCAGTTGAGGGTAGTTCCAGTTCCAATTTGTGCATTTATTCCGTTTAATTTGTCCTACAATAATCATCACACTGGATAAAATGATTCAGTTTGAGTTGTTCGTTGATTTCTGAAAATAATTTCTAATTTCACTTTGGCATTTGGATTTTGCATGATTAATCCAAAGACGCGATCGCCGAACTTCGACAGTGCGACGGAACATTTCGCGACAAATCGGATCGGGCGCGAATTTCAAAATACGATTTGTAAAACCCTTGTACAGTGAATGAGCGCGATGCAACGATTTGAAAAAAATACTGACCGATAGCCCTCTTCGACTTCCACAAAGGCATCACTAAATAATAGCTTTAAAGTGATTTGGGGAGATATAAAACAAAAATCAATTCCCATGTTAATTCCCTATATCCAGACTTGGATGCGGCACCCTGTGTATGGCCAAATATATGCGTTAATGACGAAAGGTGAAAAAAAAACACGAATACCACTTTGCCTAAACTAAACCCATTCAGCATACTTGTTATATACTTTCCTACTAAAAGAAGAAGAAATTAAGACGTGTACTGAGAACATATCAAGTCTCGAATTTCTGGTCATGAGTCATCACCTTGTCTTTTAAATTGGTAAACTTTTTTTTAATATATTTTTTTATTTTTTAGAAAAAACTACGCAGCGGACTGGCCTTGAGAAAAAAATTGGTAATAAATAAAGTTTCCACCAACCATCCACCAGAATGACGGACTGTCCTTGCGGATCCGTATGTCCTGTTGAACCGCCTCCAAAGTCCGAGTCCGACATCGCTGTCTCTGAGCCCAAACCTATACCAAAAAAAGGTAAACTCAGCCGGGAGGATAGAATCGCAAAATTAATCGAACAGTGTCAGTATGGCGTTGTTAAACGCCTAGATCTAAGAAAATGTGAGATAACTGTGCTGCCGCTAGCTGTGCGAGACTTGACTGATTTAACCGAACTGTACTTGTGCAATAACAAATTAGCCTATTTGCCGCAGGATATTGGATACCTTCGAAACTTATATACGTTAGCTCTGAACGGCAACTACTTAACAAACCTGCCCACCTCTTTAGCCGATTTGAAAAACCTGCAGATTTTGGACCTACGCCATAACAAACTGAACGAAATACCGCAGACCATTTACAGAATCACGTCACTAACAATCCTTTTGTTGCGGTTCAATCGCATCACAAGCATCGACGACGCTATTAAAATGTTGCCGTCTTTGGCAATGCTGAGTTTGCGCCATAACAATGTCAAAGAGTTGCCGGCTTCGATTGGAAATCTCAGGTCTCTTTTGACTTTAGATGTATCGTACAACCGACTCGAGCATCTGCCGAAAGAAATCGGACGTTGTGTTAAACTCAGGAACCTCGACGTGCGGTATAACGAACTTCTGGACCTTCCTTCGTCTCTTGGACAACTACCACGTCTAACCTGTTTGGGTATAAAACACAACCGGTTAACTTTTGTCCCTGCTTCGTTAAGCAAGTGTGAATGTCTAACCGAGTTTAATATCGAGGGAAATTCAATTTCGGAGCTGCCTGAGGGTTTGTTGTCGGGTCTTAGTGAAGCGACGACGGTCATTTTGTCCCGGAATAACTTTTTAACGTACCCTTCGAAAGAGCCGTCGCAGTTTCGGCACGTCAAATCGCTAGATCTGGCGAACAATCAAATTGATAAAATCCCGCAAGGCATTTTCGCTCAAGCTAGAAACTTGACCAAACTTAACATGAAAGACAATTTTCTCATTGGGTTACCTTTAGACGTCGACTCGTGGACAAATATGGTTGAACTAAATTTAAGCACCAATCAGTTACGTAAAGTACCGGATGATATATGCGCGTTAAACTCGCTGGAAACTTTAATTCTGTCCAGTAACCTTATAGAACGTGTTTCTCCGCACATACGGGAGCTAACCAATCTCAGAGTATTAAATTTAGAAGGCAATCGATTGACAGATTTGCCTGATGATATAGGAGAGTTAACAAACTTGCAGAAATTGATGTTGCAAAGTAACCGACTTTGCTTTTTACCAAAAACAATAGGCGCTTTGACGAAACTAGAATTTTTAAGTGCCGGCGAGAATAATCTGTATGCTTTACCCGAAGAAATCGGGAACTTAGAAAATTTGGAAACGCTACATATAAATGACAACCCCTCACTAAACTTGTTACCGTTTGAATTGGTGCTGTGTCCAAAGTTGTCGACAGTCAATGTGGTTAATTGTCCATTGTCCAAAATCCCGTCTGATGCAGTGGCAGGAGGGCAGTCTCTGATCTTAGAATACCTGAAAATTAATGGCCCCTATTGTGCACCGTAGGTCGCTTATTCTCGTATTTATTTATTAGTTTATTGTTATTAAAATTACGAAGTAGTTCATTTTATTAATCTACTAAATCTATTTTGTTGTTGGTTTGGTTATTTCTTTTAATTTCGTTAAACAAGAAAAAATTGTATGGGCAAATTAAATGTTTCCTAAATCGATGGCTGATATTGGGGTAAAAATATACATATCAATTGTCCTTGGTTTGAAATGGTTGGCCTATCAACGACAACTTCACTTTGGTGAACGTTACAGGCAGCTCATAAAATTTGTGATCCTTTTATACGACTTAATTTTTGTAGAAGTGCTTACACGTCCATTACTTAGTACTAAAAATGTACTTAACATTTTCGACTGTAAGTACTGTCACATACCACATTATTCCCTCCTTAATGTCGATAAACTGTAACACGAGAAGTCGATTAGACTATATACTTAGCAGAAGTGATAATCAAATATATAGTTGAAAAACAATAAGGGACATTGTTGAAATTACCGATCAAGAAATGTTAATAATTTATGGAATTATTAAACATCGAAATTTTAGATGACTATTTTTATTGAAGACTGATATTCTATAAATACTAGAAATATATAGTAATGCCAGTGTTAACTGCTGGTGTATTTTTGCATATGAAAGTTATTTCGGAATCTATATTAATAAGAATTTCCATCAATTCATACTGAAGTCACTGTAAACACTTGGCTAGAGAAGTGATGATACCAAATGCTTGTCATACTGAGCTACAGAACAATAATGAATACAACATTTTGCAGAACGTTTTTTAAACTCCAATAGAAATACCGATATAATAATATAAGCAATTTCAGAGACGCTTACCAATTATGTAGCAAACAAAAATAATAAATTAACTGGAAGTATAAGATCCATATTTTACAAAGATTACAGTCGCAGAAAATACCATTGTTAGGTAATCGTTTTTGCAGAACTGCCACTTTTATACAAAACTGTACTTCCAGTATAACTTTATTTCTTCTTCTGATGGCAATAATCAGAGTTAGGCATAGCCGAAGTGATGGGCAATCAACTAGACAAATATTAAAAACGACGGCGCGACGTCAGGCGATAAATTTGGCTAGCCGACTGTGCAGTCTCAACCGCAAATCAGGGTTTATCTAATCAAGATTATCACGAAAATTGTGACGTTGAACAGTCATTTTTAATTTTTAAAGCAACTTAACATATAGGAAAAAATCGAGAAAAGTAGTAATTGTTATTAAGAATTCCCAAAGTTGTACGCCACGACTGCAATAGCGCTGGCGATCGGTTGGCGATGATCATCACTTCCGCAATGCCGAAGTCTGATAATAATCATCTACCTGTCTATACATATTTCCTTAACATTTGTAACTGAAAAGGAGAAAAATTATCAAGGTTAAAGTTCTCATGGTAATATACCCTTAAATATATGACATAATTAAAATGATTTAGTAAAATAGATATGTAATTAAAGTTACTCTGTCCTGTTCTAGATGTTGTGTTAACGTGAAAAAAATCTGTTAATTGATCGTATACATGTTAACTATCTCTCATTATAGAATTGGGTAGTGAAGTGTACATGTATTAAATTATTAATTGTAACTCTGATCATAGGCGGACATGAGGGACGTACAAAAAACATAAATAAATAAAAGGGACTAAATCATAAAATAAGCGTATCTTATAAATCGAAGGACATCGTCGTCTTTATTCAGAAGTGATTGAAAACATCTCAATTTCTAACGCAATTCAGCCTCGATTTAATTCTTCTTCCATATTATTGCCGCATCGTTATTTTTACAAACTATCCCAATGCGTGAGCTTCTTCCAGCTAGGTACTACTATAGGGTTCAAAATAATATCATTTGCTTCCTCAATACAGTAGATCAAGTTTTTCTATTTTTCCCATTTCCAAAATTTCTTAAAAAAAATAATGGATATTTTTCCATTACCCACAGCATTTGGGTAAACACCTTTTTCTTTCTCATCTTCCAATTCTAGTTGTTTGTTTATTTATTTTTTTTTTTTTTTCAAATAGTGTAATATCGAAGAATGAAATCGCTTCTCAAAACATTTTCGTGGTGTCATTGACTGAACCAGAGGATAAGGGTTCAATGTGAGACGATAAAGCTCCAGCGCAATTACACCCTCCATCCAGTTTTTGTTTAGTTTTTCTTTGCCATCCTAGGGCAAGATATTTTTTTGAGAAATTATCGAACATTTCCTTACTAGAAGAATAAGTTACTGTGAATTTCTCAGCAGTCGTATTTCTGTCGGTCGCGATTTTTTTAATCGGTGTAAAGATAAAATTTGCTAAAAAATCTTTTTTATTCGACTGTGTTGAAAAACGATGGTTCTCAGTTTGGAAACAGCCGTGAAACGTAATTTTGCGTGGTAGTTCGAAATTTCTTCGATGCTCCTGAATTTTGTAAAAAAAATGTCTAGTCTGAAACTGGATTTTATTTTTCTTAGAATTGTAAGCTACCTTTTGCTTCAACAGGTTCAATATAGAGCCCTTCTTCTTCTTCAAATTGAAATTTTATTTTGTCGCTGCAGTTACATGGTCGATTAGTAAATAATATAAATTCTTCTATTGCGCTTCCTGTCTTTGGAAGGATTTAAAATATTTACTTATGCTGAAATCTCCTCTTTTTGATCGCAGATTTTCTGTTGACAATGTTTTCCTGTCGCTGGTTGTTAGTTGCATTGCTTTGACATCGATGTTTCTGACTAATTCAAGATTGACAACTAATTCATCGAATGCGCCAAAATTGTCATTGTTTGATTAGACGTGGAAATTATCCACGGAGTGATAACCAGATTCCCATAATTCTTGACAATCACATATTAGCAATTTTCGGTTGCCCATGGAGGCTGTAAAAGGTGCTCCAGATCTCTTATTTTGAATAATATAGTGGACACTTGTCGAGGATGATATTTTTGTAAAAGTTTATTTGAAAATCTTTATTGCGAACTATATTCGCTTAAATCTGCATTAAAGTCGAGCATATCTGGAAACCTTGGCCTAGAGTCTTTAATAGGCTTTGGAAGCACTGCTGCAACAACCTGATTCATTTTTTTTTTACAACGTCATTCTAAATTTGTCAAAAATAACAAACAACAAATGAATTTCATTCGATCGTTCTTAAATACTTCAAAAAGGAGCCATAAATATTTGCTCTTTTTGCAAAAACCAATCTCCAGATTTTTCTCGGACCAACCTTCAGATTTTGAGGTTCAGCGTGAAACCCCAAAATGTCTCATAACAGAAACCATACCTCTAGCATTATATGGGGGTAGACACACCGTGACTATGCTCCCAGGAACAGGTATAGGGCCAGAAGTCTCAAAGCACGTCAGACATGTGTTTCGAGAGATGGGAGCGCCTGTAGATTTTGAGGTTATACACATAGATCCCAACGCATCTTCTGAAGACGACTTACAATACGCTCTAATGTCGGTCAAACGAAATGGAGTTGGAATTAAAGGAGACATAGGAGGAAAATCTCTTAGCACTCTTACAACACACAGCAATGTTATACTGCGGAACGAATTAGATTTATACGTTTACGTCATTTGGTGCAGATCGTATCCTAATGTACCTGCGAAACACAAAGATGTAGACATTGTTGTCGTTCGACAAAACACTGAAGGAGAGTACTCAATGTTAGAACACAGCGTAGGTGGGTCTAAAGTAGTCGAAACTTTGAAGATTGTCAGAAGAGACAGTTCTGTAAAACTAGCAACGTACGCATTTGAGTATGCCAAAAAACACAACAGGAAAAAAGTCACGACCATCCATAAAGCTAATATTATGAAGCTTTCCGATGGCTTGTTTTTGAGTGTGTCTAAGCAGATTGCAAAGCAGTACCCCGAAATAGAACACAATGATTTGATCATAGATAACTTTTGTATGCAGGTGGTAACTAATCCTAAGCAGTTTGACGTTCTTTTAACGACGAATCTCTACGGAAGTATTGCTGCTAATGTTATTTGTGGTATAACTGGAGGTCCTGGTCTTACATCAGGAATCAATTATGGACTGTATTACGCAATATTTGAGCCTGGTACAAGAGCTTCTGGTGTCACAATTGCCGGTAAGAATATGGCTAATCCGGTGGCTATGTTAAATGCTTCAGTCGACATGTTGTACCACTTGGGACATACGGCATATGCGAAACGGCTTGAATATGCAATCTATAAAACAATTTGTGAAGATAAAATACATACCCCTGATTTGAAAGGTTCGGCTACTACTGTAGATGTTGTAAATAAAATTCTTGAGTACATTTATTTGGAGAGTATTATTAAAGTAGTATTTTTGTTAATAAAAATTTTCATGATACATATTCTAAAAAGCTTTTTTTTTTCTCATTGGGACACAAAAATATTCCGTATGTGTGAATAAATTCGGACGTAAATTGTGAGATAGTCCAGTTCCGCCTATGCTCTAGGTACAATTATATAAATATGATGTTAATAAGTAACTGGGGTCGTACTCTAGAGAATTAATGATATCTAATGTGATACAAAACTAATGCATGGTGTTTAAACCCCATTTCTAGATACAAATAAAGTATTTTGTAGTCTTAATCTAGAAAAAACATTTTTAACTTGGCTTACATAAAGTCGTCAAATTTTACATCAGATTTGTATTATCAAACAAGCAGCAAAGCAACTTGAGTCTTGAAAAAAATAAACAGATTGTTTGACCTTTCAGCTTATTTTCGTCTCAATAGTTGTAAGCCAATAACTACATATTCTTTAGAAATATTATAATAAGTGACAACGACAATATTTCGTTTGACAAACACAAATGTGATGCAAAAGAGATGATGTGATATACTCCCAGTAAAAAAATGTGTGATCAAAAACATTTTGATTCGGAGTGAGCATTACACTTGGCGTTATTTAGTGATGGTGACACTGTAGTCAAAGCTAACTCTGGATCAAGATATTTTCATTGGTACGTAGCTTTAACCACAGATGATCAGATAATTTAGTGTAGACATTTCGGCACATTACAAATAAAATCAGTCTGATCGTCGATGGTCTAGGCTAAAGCGAAGGCTAAGTGTTCAAAATTCTCATCGCAAGCATTGGACGAATAAAAAAGTACTACCTTGATATAATGCCGAGTGCATTTCCTGGCTTTCAGAAGCCTTCCCATTACCATTTAAATCCGTCCGATGCCAGTAAACGCTTAGCTCAAGACTTGCGAATATGAAGTTTGTTAGCTATTTATATTTATATAACTATTGAACTTGCATCTATTTTTATGGTGTATTATATATTAATGTGTAGACTGATGTGATCTTTGAGTTGATGTCAATTAGTGATTTATCTAAAATGCGCCGTTACCTGACCTGACCAAAAAGACAATCTTTTATAATTTGTATGATTTATATCCGCGAATATGTTTTTAAAACCGCTGAGTATGTTTACGTGCCAAATTAATTACCGTTGTAATGTGGTTTATGAACGTGCCATGGTGACGTATTGTATTCAGTTTCGCCCAATGTCGTTTGTTTACACGTAAAAATAAATGTTAAACTATAGATGTATATGTGCATGTGTACTAATGACGTAAGACATTGTTGATAACACTTGATTATTTCTAATTACATTGCAATTTATGTACCGGGCAATTTTTTAAATGTCTGCGCTTGTTTCAATTTCACGGTTGACGTAAACGTCATGGGTAACTAGAGCATAAATGTAAAAAATTACCCCATATTTTTTTTGTTGAAATTATGATTGATGATGCTTGTATTATTTTCAATGTGTTTACGTGCCAAATTGATTACCGTTGTTGTAATGTGGTTTATGAACGTGCCATGGTGACGTATTGTATTCGGTTTCGCCCAATGTCGTATGTTTACACGTAAAAATAAATGTTAAACTATAGATGTAAATGCGCATGTGTACTAATATGACGTAAGACGTTGTTGATAACACTTCGTTATTTATAATTACATTGCAATTTATGTACCAGGTGATTTTTTAAATTTCTGCTCTAGTTTCAATTTAACAGTGGACGTAAACGTCATGGATAACTAGAGCAACGTTTAAAAAAAATCCCGATATTTTGAAGATTGTATTATTTTCAATATGTAAAATATTTTTGTTGTCAAAGGTTATTGTCATTCGTAAATAAACTTTGGGTTTGTTTATGTTTGCGATACATTTAATTTTTTTGTATCACTTTTTAATAACGCTGTCGTCATATGGAACAAAAATGGTATATATCCTGGTTAAATTCAGATGTTACGCTGTAATACCTTTATTCTTGTTACCCTGTTGACATAATAAATGTTGTGAAACTTTTAACTGATTTTTTATACCCAAACCATAGCTATAATTTTTGTTATTAAAGTAGTCGATTTGACTTCTTGAAACAATATAAAAGAAAATTTTCCCGACCAGTTAACGTTGGAGATCTTGTCGTCATAGAACACGACCAGGAGAAAGGACTAAATTGGCCAACAGCAGGAGTAGAAGAAACAATTCCTGCAAAGACGGAAATATTAGAGTTGTTAAGCTAAGAACCTCTTCAGGTCACTTAGTACGTCCTATACAAAAGTTATATCTATGAGAAATAGAAAATGAAGACAAAAAATTGCCTCATTACGGTCGAAATTCACTATACGATGGATCAGAACCAACATCCACAACGAACGATGACAAAAAAAATGTGTACATAAATTGGACTGGTGTGGTGTTCGTACGTGTTCTGCTTTCTGTTGGAATAGAGTTTATTTCTATGATAGGTACCTCTGTCGGCGTAATATTTTACGTTTCCTATCGACGACTAAGCCATTTGGAACAAATCTGCACTTTTCCTAATCGATTTTCCCTTGAAATATACTGCGAAATTATTATTTTCAGAACTTTTACTAAAACTAGCACCCGGCAACAATTTTTGTCTAAATAAAACCAACACTAGCACAAAATACTGCGATCCCTATAATAATGACAGCATTTACCAGCTATGCATTTGCATTTCCATGATATACTTAGAAATTTTTCTCGAGTGTCCCAACATTTAAATACCAGCAAAAATGGCACATTTTTACTTCCCGAGCGTAAGCTAAGGAAGTATTGTAATTGAGTCCGTCTGCCGACTCTCTACTTTTACATTTTCTCGACCTTTCATGACCCCTAGAAGACGAAGAAATAGGTCTCCCGTTTCCGTCTGTCTGCCGTCCCGGATTTTTATTAGACAGATAATCTCCGAAAGTATTGGACCGATTGTTGTGAAATTTTTTATTTATATTACGTTCAGCAACGATTCTAGCTCCCAGTATTATTCCCATCAATTCTGTTTGTAAGACAGACGGGTGGGTGCCGAGAGGTACACTGATTTGTGCGTTCAGTTCTTCGGAGTAGATACCGGCTCCTGAACCACTATCTGTTTTGACACCATCGACATATATATCGATGTGGGCTCTTCTTTCTGAATTATCATTCATTTTGTGCCCATTCGGTCACAACCCATCCTTAACGAGGTTATTCTGTTGAACGCCTCCGTTAAGATTCGAGTGTGCTTCGTTGTGCGGCCTTGCTTGTTCCATACTCCCAGAGAGTGAAGTCTTAGAGACGTCCTCATTGCCGCTCCCTCTATGTAAAGGTTAAGAGGTACTAAGCAAAGAAGGGTCTCCAGAGCCTCTGTGGAAGTGGTCCTCATTGCTCCTGTAACATTGAGACACGCCATTCTCTGAACGTGTTCAAGTTGCAGGGTTGTTGTTTTTTGTCTGGCTCTAGGCCACCAAACTAAAGCTTCATAGCACAGCATCGGTCTGACTATTGCCGTGTAGATCCAGAGGGCGATCTTGGGCTTTAAACCCCACGACCTTCCCACCACCCTACGACACTGCCAAAGAGCCGAGCCTGCTTTTTCCACTTTATCATCTACATGCTTCTTCCAATTCAGTCGCCAGTCCAATACAACTCCCAGGTATTTGACTTCGTCGAAAAATTGAAGCGTTGTGTTAAATATTTTTGGCATCTGTAGTGTGCCAATTTTCCTTTTCCTAGTGAACAGGATTAGTTTCGTCTTTTTTCCATTAACGGAGAGGGTATGCCTGCTGCGCCATTCCTCGACTATTTTTTCTGCAGCTTGCATTATCTCACATAATGTATCTGCGTTTTTTCCTGTTAGCAGAATGACTAGATCGTCCGCGTATCCAATTGTGTGGTAGCCAAGATCATTGAGGCGTCGTATCACGCTGTCAACGACAGTATCCCACAGTACAGGAGAGAGAACTCCTCCCTGAGGACATCCCCTGCCTACAACAGCCTCGATCTCAGTGCCACCTACATTAATCAGTACTTTCCTATTCCTCAGCATACCGGCCACCCACCTGCTTAAGGTGGGGTCCACGTCGTGCTCTCGTAGGGCTAGTTCTATGCTTTTGAAGGTCGTTTTATCAAACGCTCCTTCAATATACAAAAACATTCCTAAGGTGAAGAGTTTGTTCTCCATCGCCCACTCTATACGGTTTACAACTGTGTGTAGGGCCGTATCGATGGATCTTCCTTGGATGTAGGCATGTTGGTTCGGATGTAGAGGTTGCTTGCTCAAAGCAGTCTCCCGAATCTCTTTTTCGCTTAGTCTTTCTAGCGTTTTCAGCAAGAATGATGTTAAGCTAATTGATCTGTACGATTTAGCCAAGGTGTAATCTTGTCGTCCTGCCTTAGGTATAACCTTTACTTTTCGCCATGCATTCGGTATGTAGCTGAAAGCCAGACACGCCCGAAGCATTGGCAACAAAATAGGGCGTAGTCTGCTCATTCCCCTTTGCAGGAGGGCGGGATAAATACCGTCAACTCCCGGAGATTTATATGGGGAAAAGCTGCTCACTGCCCACTCCAGTCTTGTCTCCGTGACTACCTTTGCCGCCAGCGCCCAGTCCTTCGGGGAAGGTTGAGTACCGGCTACATCCCTTTTGGAATGGGAGGTAGTCCTTGTGCTGCCTGGAAACATGGTCTGCAGCAAAAGTTCTGCGGACTCTTCTAAGGTGGCTGTAAAGGTGCCATCTTCTTTCTTTAGGAAACCTTGTTGATGTGTGTGGTCCTTCGAGAGAACTCTCTTCAGCCTTGCGGCCGAAGCAGTCGACGTTATGCCGCTGGAGAAGGATCTCCACGTTTCCCGTTTCCTCTTTCTTAATTCTTTCTTAAACTCTTTCCGATGCTCTTTATAGACTTCCCAGTCTTCAGTTTTCTTAGTGTTTTTTGCTCTATTGAAAAGTTTTCTTAGCCCCGATTGAAGTAGGCTGAGCCTTTGGTTCCACCATGGTGTACATTTACCCAGACCTTCCTTCTTTAGGGGGCAACTTTTCTCATACGCTGACATTAGAGAGTCGTTGATAATGGTGAACGTTTTCTCTATGTCTTCTGTCGATTTGTATTCTGTTGGTATAGACTGCACGGAGGTCCCCAGTCTGTCCAGTTCTTCGTTGTATAAAGCCCAGTTCGTCAGCCTAGGGTTCCTGTACGTCTTTGTCTCCATGTCTATACATTTTATTGTATACATGATCCATCTATGGTCTGACACTGACGCCTCTTTAGAGACGTGCCATCCCATCATATATTGTGAGATATCCCATGTAGCCAGTGTAATATCTATTACTGACTGATTACGCGATGTTACGAAAGTTGGTTCGCAGCCTCGGTTGAGAATCTCTAAATTTGTTGATAAAAGATATTCAGCTAGTGTTCTTCCTCTATCATTAGTGTCTTTGCTCCCCCACAACAGACAGTGGGCATTCGCATCGGTACCGATGATGAGGTTTATATTTCCGGTATCACAGTGTATCACCAAATTCGCCATTTCCCATGTTGGACATGGTTCTTGTGCTCCCTGTAGTAAATACACGGATGCTATTACCAGTTGCTCTTCGCCTCTTCCTATGTCTACCGCAGTCACATCCCTGGAGCTGACCTGAGGTAGGAGGACGGCTTTAATTTTCCTGGGAATGTAGATACATGTCCTTGGAGATTCTATTGTGGTACCTGAAACAACAGTGCCATTTAAATTGCTCAACCCTGCAATCCTGGATTTTACTATCCATGGTTTCTGGATTATTGCTATAGTGTTCTGCATCTTGTCTAGACGACGACACAAAACCGTCGTCGCCATGCGACAATGCTGCAGGTTAATCTGAATGAAATTTATCTGCTGCAGCGCCAACTCTGCAACCAAAAAATCCCATACCTGCCTAGAAGACACGAGGCATATATCTCGGGCGGGCCCGCCCCCACTGGTAGAGGCTTCATCCCCTGGGGTTTCTACGTCTTCCTTAGGGGTCCGCCCTTCCTGAGCCGATGCCTCGTTTTCCTTGAGTTTCAGGTTGAAAGAGGACAGCATATAGTTGATTCTGCCCTCTCTCCCCCTGATTATTTTGGCCTCATCCATCCCAAGACCAAACACAAGGAGGTTGCCTGGAGAGGCAGCCTCTGGTTTGGCTTCGTGATGAAAAAGAAGCCATTTTTTAATGTGGGCCCATTGGTTCTGACCCTCCAGGCGGCGAAATACGACCTCTGCATCCACCGGTGGTCCCGGTATCCACAGGGTCGCCCTCACCAGCCTTGGTAGCTCAGCCAAGGGGACCACGTTAAGTTGTGCGCCCTCCCACAAGTGTGTTAGAGACCGCACTGTTTGTTGTAACCATTTCAGAGACACCTCGTCTTCACAGGTTTTCCTTAGGATTTCCCCTGTGTACTTGATGCCCCTGAAAATGGCTGCTTGTTTTCCTGATACCAAGCACTGATCAAATTGCCTGTTCAGTGCTCCCATCAGGCCATTTTGTACTATCTCCACCTGGTCAGCAGTCAGCTTACCAAGTGGATGCTGTACATCAATCACAGGTACACGGAGATGACTTGCAGCCACCTCCCTGTAGCTATGTTCTCTAGAGGTAGTCTCCTGCCTCCTCATCCTCTTTTGCTTTTCAGCTGCCGGAGGTGTGGTGGTTGAAGACCTCACTCTCTTCTTTGACCCTGAGGTCTTTTTCCCCGCGGGTTGTTTGGGGTTGGCTATCGTAGCCTGCCCTTTACCCTTGGGGTTTATCCCGGAGGATGGGTCCGATTTCGCAGATTCGCTTCCTATTAGGAGGCTGCGACCCCACCTTGGCTGGGTTTTCTGTTTGAGGTGCACCCAAAGGCACTACCTCAGTGGGTTTTTTGTTATTATTCTCCATAGATCTGGATTTTGATTTCGTCCTCCTGCATCCCCACCCACCACGGAGTCCAACAAGGGGACGTCGAACTTCGACGCCAGGGCTAGCAGAAGGATATAGCCCCCAGGGAAGCTCATCCTGCAGTACGCAGCCTCAACTAGTGAGGCTACTCGTGCTCAGACTACACTTCCCCAAGGACTCTACCTGTCGGCGGTCTGACCCCAAGGTCTCTTAACGCCTAATAATTGAGGTATCGCGGTATTCGAGCTAGGTACATTCAGTATGAACATACCTATACCTGGGCCCAGTAGTGAGAGACAGCTGCTGTTATAGTTTATACTTTAAATGTTAATGTGACGTTGGTCTGTAAATGGGAAAACCTGTTGACCAACTTGATTAATAATAATAATAATATTAATAATAATAATAATAATAAAGTTGTTCTGTTAATCTAATCAATGCATATCATTACTTGGTCTTAGTACGCGTAATGATAGAAGTCTTGCCTGAATGCCGGTCATTTCCGGGTCAGTGGTGGGTCTTAATAATAATAAAACGATCCAAGTGACCAAATCCGGAAGAAAAGTAAGAAAACCTGACAGGTTAAACCTGTGACTCTACTATACTAGAGTAGAAATTCCCTTGGCGGCAGAATGGAATAAATGCCGAGTTTACTGTGATCTACTGTATCTTTTGTTTATTTAATAGTTATTAGGAAATTTCTATGGGATCAAGAGAAATCAATAAAAAATAAGTATTTCAAAAAAAAGTTTTTCTATGATCCGCAGTTTCTCTTCACCATCACAAGGCTCTACTAGTGAAATACTGTTTAATAACAGGTCGTCACTACGTATTTATATCACAGCACTTTAAGATTTATTAAAATCTAATCTAATCTAATCTATTAATCTGATCTAATCTTGTGTATGACATAATCTTTCAACTTGTATATAAAAAATGTATGTCACAGGTTTACACAGCAGATGTATTAGTTATATCACAATCTTCATTCATACGTGAATATACATATAAGCTTCTGACCCATAATGAGATTACTTAAAAAGTAATTTGTAGACCACCGTTTATAATTTATCGTTGCTTTGCCATGTAAATTTTACAAAAAAATAATGTCAGTGTGCTATTCTCATACTTTTATTAAGATTTCCAAGTAACTATAAATTACAAAAACAGAAGCAAGAATTAATATAGTTGCTTCTAGTGAACGTTAAAAAAACAAAAATAAAATATAATATCATTAATAATAATAATAATAAACGAATATCATAGAGATGCAATAATACAAAAATACAAACTAATTAACAGACCTAAAATACAGCCTGGATGTCCCACAGTATAAGAATGAGTACTGTTTGTATTAGTACTGTTATCGTTTAATTCTCCCGACATATAATACCTGGAATTCCCCGCAAGTACCCGCTGTTCAATACCACACTCATTCCGACCTCTCAGTATTTTAAAAAATCCACCTAATGATCCCCAGTTTTTTCCCCACGAATTAGCCACCAACCAATATGGACTTCCGTTCTCAGTTCCCCATCCTATAATTTTAATAGCATGTTGACCTGTGTATTGTCCGGAAGTATGATAATACACCCCTAAAAACAGTAGCAAAGACTTAGTAAAAAGGACGTGTTATTTACAAATAATGATCACCTGATTGGTAGTACCAAAAATCTTGATAAACCGTAAAATCGGCCTCCACTGATCCTTTAGCAAAAATTTCAGCCTGAATTTGTAGCTCTGATGGGTTTATCTGGTAATAATTTGTGCCAAAATGTTTGTCTGAAGAGTATGGAGTTTGGTATAACGTATTCGAACAGGTTTGCTGACATGGACTTGCCGTATTATAATAGTATTCAGATGCTCCATACGGCTTGCAACCCTAAAATAGTTAATTATAAATAGAACCAAGGAATGTACACAAATATACAATATTGGATGACTCCATACATCTGCACGTACTGAAATGCACTCCCAGTGTAACCTCCAAAGCAGTAGTTACCACAGGTGTGACAGCACGTAAGAATATCTTCGGGAGCCAACTGAACGTTGACTTTTCCTCCGCTCTGTATGCATAGTCTGTCTGACATAACCTCGGCCACTGAGAAAGCCTAAAATTGCCCACAATATAAAAGAATGGAAGTATAAAAATAGGACTTACCCAGCAGGAGCCGCAAGTTCCTTGGTTTCTGATGTTTCCTATAATGTTTGCACAGTAAGGCCATGTATTTCTTGCATCAAAATTTACAGGAATTGTAGTCTGGTCGATGTTATGAGTGACCATAGGCACTGTAAAGTTGGGATCTGGGTGAAGTCCAAGAACTCCATGAAATAATGGTAAAATCTCCTCCTTCGTTTGATTGTGGAAATTCATTCCAGCAATCCATGAAGACTGGTTGGAATTGATAAATTCTATTAACCCTGTGTCTGTAAGGCTTTGTGCCAAAGGCAAAAGCACAACGGCGTAAAATAGTAGTGAATATTCCATGGTCTTACTTGTTCTGTACACTGTACATTAGTCCAAGAGTGTCGCTTTAAATAAGAGTAAAAGCGTCATGATGTTGTAAATCATTTCATTATTTTACAAAGTTTACTTTGTTCGTAATATTTATTTTATTAAATTCTGGAAAATGTTCAAATGTTATCATTTCATTTTTTAGTTACCAGTCACAGTATTTATTCTTGTAAAAGTTGGTCATTATTTCTATATTAGCAGTCGACGTTGTTTACATTTTAAGGATTAAATAGTACAATGGTATTATTGTGTGATATTAAAATGTTCGTTTGAATTAATATTTATATTTATAGCAGTATAATGTAGAGACAGCGATGCTTCGCTTAGACACGTCGTGTACTGAATTTTTAAGCTTAAGATTGTTTTGTTTGTGGTTCAAAAAGATGTAAATGCATTTAAGTAATATCGTAGATAAATCCGACTGTAAAATGCGAAATTATAAAAATGGAATCGATTATGTTTCAAGCGGGATTATCTGACCGTCAGTTACGCAGTCCAAAAACGAAGGAATCGAAATGTGGGCGAAAAGTTTAGACCTCTTTCAAATTTAAAGGATTCAAATCCGGAAAACATCTTTTGTTATTACCTGTGACTGCAAAACTTTTCGATTCCATTTCAAAACCTCTACGAGGAGGATGTCTTTCAAAAATTCCTTCAGTTTTTCTAACTCAGACATGTTCATTTAGATTTAGATAGGTCCTTCGTCTTCATCTTCATCATTCTTTCCCTTTTTATCATCACTTGACTGGAATTTTTTCCTTGAAAATACTTTTCCACAGACGACGGACAAATCTCCTTGCTCTTTGGCTCCCAAGACTATGACGTGATGACTTATCTTTTCTAGGCAGGCTTTCGTTCGCTCGTAGTTGTGTTTGCCCGGTCTGAAGTGCTTTTGGCTTTTAAGTCGATAGTAAAAACTGAAAAAGGTCAACGAAAACAACTGACTACATATTAAATAAAAGTACTTTACATACATTAAAACTTTGGTAAAAGTAAATATAATATAATTCTAAACAGAAAAATATACTCTACATAAACATAACAAAATATACATCTTCATAAACACAAAAAATAAGCTGAGAAAAAAAAATGAATTAGACTCTACTTACCTTTAGCTTTTTCATCTTCTTAACATGTCCATCAGAAATTCTTTTTCTCTTATGTTTATCTCTGCAGAATTTAAATATTAGGAAAGGTGTACACCTACCTAATATCAAATTAAAAGAGTCATGATCCGTGCAATGTTCCTCACTGTAACTTACATTTTGTTTGAATAGATTTTTAAAAGTATCTTCTAAATTTCTTTGGAAGCCAAGAATCTTTATTTTTTTGTTAAGCTATCTATTTTTTAATTTTTGTTGATTAAAGCTAAACTTGAATAGGAATGTAGTCAACCCAATGTCCTCTTACGTCAAAGACAATTTTGATTTATGAGGGAAACGTCCACTATTGAGATTAGAAGTATTTTAAAGTTTTTGGAAATGGGTATAGAAGCGTCGGATATGACTCATTTTTGTAAGAACTTCTAAAGTCGTAAAGCTACATTACTTATTAGTTTCGCATTGATATACCATAATGGCCAGTTCTAAGAAAGCCGAAAACATTTGTACTGTTGACAGTATACATATATTAACTTACTGTGTTGTAGTGATTGTTTTGACAAATGCAAGTAAAATATTTTAATTTTTGTCATTTCATGTTGGTAATGGCCAAAGATAGATAGAAGGAAAATGTCCAAACAAGCCGTTTAATCATCTGTTCCCCGAAACCTTCTTTCCACATAAGTACCTACCTGCGTTCGGTACTTATACATTTCTAACCCCTCACTGCGACAACCTGCACCTGAACATGCCTCCGAACCCCCACTTTTCTTCTACAACCCGGTGAAAGTTAAACGAAGTCGAACTTATCAGTTATCACTACAATTTGTGTTGTCTTGTGACCATCCTGGTGTCCAGAGTCTTGAGATTGTTTCACCAAAAGGTGTAGAAATCATTACTCTCCAAGTAACGAGTATTAGTTGTTTATTAATTTTCGGGTACTTCTCATAATGTCCATTTGCTCTAATTCAAGGTAAAAACTGTTGAAACCATTTGTGTTCCAAAATATTAAATGTGTTACTTTTAGGTCGGGTGAGACCCGAATGGGTACATGTTTAAAATTAGACAAAACGGAACTCAAAAGTATAAAGGTGGCGATTGTGCGAAGAAATATAAGTGAACCAAATACGAATATGTCTGAAGCTTTAGTGCGAATGTTGGAAGATCCGTCACAATTAGTTGTTCATTATAGGCCAGGTAAATAGTATAATCTAATATGGAACAAATTCCAAAAGAAAACTCAACATTTGTTGAAAATATTGATAACGAATTTTGCTCAAACTCTACTCTCTTCTAATTAATTGTTAATTAGTGTTATTTAGTTATTTTTTATTTATCAAAACTCAACCGTTACGATTCTTGTGAGTCATAGCTTATTCATTAATTTTATTACTTAATTTAACTTGACACATCCGTCACAAAGTGAAAAAAAAGAACAGTTTGAAGATTAAAGAAACCATTCCAGCTTCAGTTTTGTAGATTTTAATGTAACTATTCTACTCGTTGACATTGACATTGTGTGGGTGCTCCTCGCTAAAAGTTCAATTTGGTGAGTTCGTTGCTTATATTCAAGTTACTATTGTTGATAATTATTGCAGAAAACATTAATGTTAGATGTTGCATGTTTCAAACAATCGTTTAAACCATTCTAAAAGTGGTTTTTGAACAATTTGTCTTCAACAGTTTTATCGCCTTGGATAGTAGCTTGTGTTTTTTGCTGACTGATAACACATTTCTTTGGTGAGGTGAGGAACTGCGGCGTATCGCTGTTCTCACCTCAATGTATTTATATACGTTGAGGATTAAAAACGCATTTAACACATTTCTTGAAGGAGAAAAGGTTTAACTGTAGAACCTTGATATTATAACTACATTTTTAGCAGTAACTAACATTGGATCTCCTATTAACCATATTTATGTTTTAAATGTTGGAACAAAAACGCGAGAACACTGTTATAAGCTAAAGAATCCTTCCGATCCTTAACTCGACAATATTTTTTGTCTAATAGAGTTTTCAATGTTTGGAATTCTCTACCCGATTATATCATTATCTTGAAAAACTGGCACTAATTTTCAGATGAGGGAATTCGACCAATTTTTGATCGTGGTAACATTATTGTCAATACACAAAGGCAAGAAGAGCGGATGGTCGTAACCTCTTCAGAAGGAAATAACAAGGGTTTATCCCATCGAGCTAGTTCTGGTAGTATTGAGGCACACACGTCCAGAGACCACTCCAAAGAAGAGTACAGGAGGAGCAGTGAACATTATTCTTCCAAATCCCGGTAAGATGAACAAACTAAATCAAAAACAGTAAATTTAACCTGGCATACATTTTAATTAGGCGAAGTAAGTCGAATTCCGGCAACACACCTCCTCGATACCATCGGAGGTCTCCGGAGCCACATAAAAGCCGCGAACGGTCACCCAGAGGTTCTCGTCACAGGTACAGTCGATCTCCGTCTAGTTACAAAACAGCCTCTTCGAAAAAATTAAGGAGTCAGCACCGCTCAAGAACGCCTCCACCGAGAAGTAGCAGCAGGTACCTCAGCTTTTTTCTTGTGAATATTAAAAAAAATCAAGGGATATTTTATGTTTCTTACAGAGGCCGGAGTCGAAGCTATTCGCCCCACTATAGATCTAGACGCAGTAGATCGCCCTATCGCCGCGAAAGATCCAGAAGAAGCAGATCGAGAAGTAGTCGACGATATGACGAAGACAGGTCTGAAAGGCGCGAAAAGCACGAACCTCCGCGAATAGCAAATCCATATTTTGGGGTAACACTTTTTAAGTCTGATTGTGTTGCAGATTTCTTATTATTTAATTATTCTAATAGGGTGCAGAATTTTGTTTTCATAATCCCATGCTTTATCACATGATGCCACCTGGACCATTTCCGTACCCATTTAGACCAGGAATTCCACCCATGATTCCATCAATAATGCCGTTTAGGCCTAGAATAGGTTATAATGGTAGGCCGCCTAGGCCTAGAACTACCCCGACGACGAGTGCGGCAGTTGGAAGTAGTTCTGTTGTTACGACGACGACTACAGAGGAAACAACGAACAGTGTAAATGATTAAGGTGAGATATATTTTGTAAGTTTGTGCAATATGAACGTTAACATTTATCGATTTCGGTTTTAAATAATTGTTAATATTGTTATGTTGCTGATTTTTCTTAATGAAAATTACATATATCGGTGTGTTCTATTACTCTGTTAACTAGCTATTTTATTGACTAACTAGTTACTCTCTTGAAAAAATATTAGGGAGTATTATTTACATTCATTATAATATGTTTTTCTAGATTTTCCATTTTAAATGAATGTTTTCGATCACTTAATAGTATGTTGTTTTGAATATTTTCATACATAATGTTCCCGAATGACAAAATTTACATTTCAAATTGTATTATCAAATGGTAAAACACTCACCAAAATTTGTCACCAAAAATTAAATGATATAATCTCCAACTTTTACAATAGTAGATGTAATTTAAATTTTATATCCTCCGTTTACGGTTTATGAATCCGTGTTGGGTTTTTACCTTGGACGTTAAGATTTGTGGAGAAAAAAATCAACATTTTCCAATTTATAGCTATTGAAATCTTGTTAAATCGTTAGTTAAAATTTATCGGTTCATGCCTCCAGTCATCTTACACTCTGTCGAATAAATGTTATTTAAAAGTTTAAAAATATATTACATAGTCCTGAACTTATGGTTTATATTTATATTTCTCAATTTTTCTATGTTTCAATGATAGGTATGATTTCTCACTTTTTGTCCACTTCAATTTTACGATTTTAAATATTTCGCTTTTTCAATTTTTTTCAAATTTTTAGTTTTCCGATTTCTGAGCAATCTTTTTTATTTTTCCATTTCCCAACTTTTTTTCGATTTTTCAAGCTTACGATTTTTCAACTTTGCTTTTTTAGTTTTTCGATTTCTCAATTTTCCAATTTTTTAATTTCTCAATTTTTAGGATATATCTTTCGGTTTTGGAATTTTTCAATATTTCGATTTTAGACTTTTCGATTTTAGAACTTTAGAACAAAGTGTTTATTTTTTGGATTTGCAATTTCTTGTTAAACTTAAGATTTTTCAATTGTTCGACTGTTTTATACTTCGATTTCTCAATTTTTCAACTTTTCGATGTTTTAATTTTTCAAATTTTAAATTGTAGATGTTTCGATGTTTTGATTGTTCAATTTCTCGATTTATCAATTCTTTCAATTTTAACTTTTCTTCTCGGCTTTCGACTCGTCAATTTCACGATCTTCTGATTTTTGGATTTCTCGGTATTTCAGTTTTGCGATATTTATATTCAATGTTTTAAATTTAGATTTTTCGAGTTTTGATTTTTGTATTTTTCAGTTCTTCAGTATTTCTATTTTTCAATTATTGACGTTGCTAAATTTTCAGTCGATTTCTTAATTAATCTATTTTTGATTTTCCTATGTCTCGACTTCTCAAAGTTTCGATTTTTCAGTTCTTCAATTCTTCGATTTTTCGATTTCTCAATTTTACATTTTTTTAATTTCTCAATTTTTGGATATTTCTTTCAGTTTTGTGTTTTTCAATATTTCGATTCTTCGACTTTTCGATTTTTCGAATTTTTATTTTTTGGAGTTTCAGTTTTTCGTTTTTTAAACTTTAGATTTTTCAAATTTTCGACTGTTTTATAAGCATCTGTGTTTCTCAATTTTTCAACTTTTCGATATTTTAATTTTCAGTTTTTAAAATTCTAGATTTTTCTATTTCTCTTTTCAATTTTTCTATTTTGGCCTATTTATATTGGACAATCGAAAAATTGAAAAATTGAAATATAGAAGAACTGAAAACTCAAGACATCGAAAAACCCAAAATTTCAAAAATTTAAAAGTTAAAATATCAAAAAATTAAAAAATTGAGATAAGTATAAAACAGTCGAAAAATTGAAAAATCGGAAGTTTAAAAAATGAAAAACTGAAAATCCAAAAATTAAAAAATCAAAAAATCCAGAACTCAAAAAATTGAAAAGTCGAAAGACTAGAAAATCACAAAATATCGAAAAATTGAAACATAGAAGAAAAACTGAAAGTTCAGAAACGTCAAAATTTGAAAAATTAAAAAATATTGAAAAATGGAGAAATACAAACATCATCAAAAAATCAAAAAAACTGGTCGAAAATTGTTTCGACAAAACTTCCCTCGCTCCTGAAATACAACGATATTTTTTTTTGGGTCACCTGTATACGCAAATCAAAAAAATATTAATGGAATGATAAATTACAAGTACAAACTCATCATATTTTGTACTATAGCGCCTAGAAATACATAGTAACGTCATCCATTGTTGTACAAGTGGAGCAAATGCAGTTGGTAACGCAAAAAATTCCCCTGGTTTGGAACCAAATTGTGTCAGCAGAGAGTAAACCGTTGTTGTCACGTGGTCTTGGCGTAGTCTTTTTGTTTAAAGTCAATTAATTGTTAATTAATATAACTAATAATTATTAAATAAGATTTTATTGATTAAATTTTATATTTTATTCAAATTAAAAATCCATATTTTGTATATAAACTACAAACTTTAAATCCAACATAAAACCATTTTAAATTTCGCGGTCAAATGTCAAATTGTGTTAATAATTTTTGTTTTTGTTAAGTTTCCGCCAGGTTTGCTCCACGGTGACGATACTATGTGTTTTCTAGTCGCTATATTTTGTACATTTGGATAGGATTTATTCAGCAAAATTTTGGGGTGACGTCATCAATTTTTTAGGGGGGAGGAGACAATACATTTTGATCAAAAATTTACCACGCTTATGACAACTTTAAAACATCCCCAAGATTTCAAAGCATTCGGTTTTGTAGTTCTTGATTAAATCAATAAAGTAAATTTACGCATTCATTAATTTTTTTGAGTCACATTGTATATGCAAATCCAAAAAATATGAATCGAATGATAAATTACAAGTACAGACTCGTTATATTTTGTACATTTTAGATAGGATTTATTCGGCAAACTTTTGAGGTGACGCCATCAATTTTTTGAAGGGGATAGGTAAATATATTGTGATTAAAATTGTATCATGCTTGTCATAACTGTAAACTATCTGCAAAATTTCAAAGCATTCGGTTTTGTAGATTCCAAATTAAATGTCAAAATATTGTTTGCTAATTTTGATTTTTTTCTTTAAATCTGGACGTTTCGGGTAAAATCTAAAATCTCAATTCGGAGTCATAAATAAATGTGTAAGACTATGTTATTTGATACAATTTAAAACCCAATTACTATGTACAATTTTTAAGTGTCGTCATCACATTAGTGGTGGGGATGATTAGACAAATTTTGCAAAAAGAAGGGGACAGCTGGATCTTTAACAAAAGAAGCGCGGGTTTACGGCTTAGGCGAGCGGAGTTCTGAAATAGACTATACTTGAAAATTTATTTGTTGCAGTTAACAATAGTTTGTTTAATTTATAAGGGTGGTTTGGCGTAAGTTATTAAAGTTTTACCAGGTATAGTTTTGGAAATTTCCTTCTACCCTATAAAATTTTATTGGCAATAACGAGGCGAACAGTGGTTCAATAGCAAGAGATATTTACAACTTAAATTTGTTGCGTGCCGATAATCCCCAGATGTTAGAAAGCAGAATAATACAGGTCCGGACAGGAACCACGAACGAAAATGACCATTATTTTATGAGTACAACTACCTGCTAAATGTTCTCCTACAAATTCGGATGGACTGGTGTGAGCCATAAATATTTCTCACCATACTACATACTATCCGTCTCGTTATTGTCAATAAAATTTTATAGGGTACAATGAAATTTCCAAAACTACCTACATATCAACTGAGCTTACAGTACTGAGTTCGGCATTTCATGAATACGTGAACTGTATGTTTTAATGTTTTTAAATTTTGAACACGTGTTCTGTACACAACGTCTTTAACACGGCCGCAAAAAAAAATGTTGAGGAGAATGTAGTCCAAAATACTTTCCACTTGTTTTCTAACAAATTAGAAGAATGATTAAACGGTTTGGAATGACAGTAATCTTTCTTATGCTAATAGCAACTTAAGCAGCTAGTAAGTACTCCTTTATCAATACAGTAATGTCGCAATAATATCAACAAAACTGCAATTTACCAAATTATATATTTAAGTACATGTGTATTGAAAGCGCACAGTTTAAATTCTAGTGTTGCTACCTGAACACTGTTCAGTGGTACCTACGTTTCTACAACGTGTTTCATAATGATTTTCATCTAGTCGTCTATGGTTGCAGATTTTCATCAAGGGAAAGAGAGGAGTTGAAGCGATTTCAAAGTTAACTAGATGAAAATCATTTTGAAACACCCTTTATAAACACAGATATTGTATAAGTGCCAATAAAATGGCCAGCAGTCAGTCAGCTTTTGGGGATGGTCCCGCCAAGCTCCCTAAGGAGGTATGTACAAATTAATAATGTGTAAAGCGATTAGTTTTTGTAGATGGAAAACAAACGTTGATACTCAAACCCGATTGTGCGACTGTAAACAAGAGGTGAATGGACGGCCGATGCCTGTGTCGTTCAGTAACATAAAAGTTATAATTTTAAATTTACGTAACAAATTAAGCAGCCTCAGTGCAGTTATTAAAGGTTTATTGTTTAGAAATTCCATTAAAAACTGTAGATTGATCAACAAATAGTGGAAATTATTGAAAAGTCTTATTTTCATTACTTAAAACACAGTAAAAAATTTCTACTTAAATTTATCGCGCAAAGATTTACTCAAATCGTCTATACTATAAACTTCAAATAAGTATTATATGACTGACACATCGTTTAATGTAATATTTTCCAATTTCAGATCTTAGAGCAAGTTCAGAAAGAGCGGTTAGTTAATAAGTAGGTCAGTAAAAATTTCTAAGACACGACTTTTCATTTCATTTCTTTACAGGGGTTGAATCTCCATATATTCCTGGAATATATGGAATTCCAATTGTTAGTGATATATCGTCCAGCATTATGACCAAACGTGTAGATATTGCAAAGGTGCTTATTTTTTTTAATTAACTAATTCTAGCTAATTTTTGTAATTGCAGTTCGGTTGCATCATAGACGGGGCCAAAAAAATATCGGACCAGCTGGAGTTACCGTACTTATAATCAGAGAAGATCTTTTAGGAAACCCAATGAAGAAGGTCACAGATCAGTTGGATGAATGAGGGCATCCTTGTATAATGCAGTAACTAGGTATGATGTTAATTTATTAGTGAAATTCATGAATGAATTCAGAAAACAATATGGATAAAAAAATTCGGTTTAGCTATAGATTATTTAATTTTGTATTTATTTTATTTGTATATATTTAGTTATAAGTTAACAGACATCGTTTAATGTAATATTTTCCAATTTCAGGTTTTAGAGGAAATTGAGAAAGAGCTCTTATCTTTCAGAGAAAGCGGCATGAGTTTAATGGAAATGATCCAACGTTCTAAAGAATGCTCAAAAATCAACAACGACGCGCAAAAAGCGGTTAGAGAATTACTGTAATCAATCCACCTTAAAAATGCAAATAAAAAATCTAAAACTCGGTTCTTTCAGGCATGTACCAGATAATTACAAAATTCTTTTTATACAAGGTGGAGGAACGGGTGTCTTTGCTGCAGTGGCTATGAACCTTATAAATAGAACAGGTTCTACAGATTATGCAGTAACGGGTACCTGGTCTGGTAAAGCTGCAAAAGAAGCGCTAAGTATGGAAAAGTTAACTTAGTAAGGTCACAGATCAGTTGGAGGAATGAAGGCATCCTTGTACAATGCAGTAACTAGTGATGATGTTAATTTATTAGTGAAATTCATGAATGAATTCAGAAAACAACATGGATAAAAAAATTCGGTTTATATATTATTTAATTTTCTATTTATTTTATTTGTATATAGTTATAAGTTAAAAATTTATATACATGATAACAATAAATTCACATGTTTTATTTGTATGAAATTCTGTGTTATGATTTTTAAGATATAACGAGTCGTGAAGATCATCGAAAAAACGATGCAGAAACAGGCAAATAATACAACCTAATTATTCTGTTATTTTCAAAGGTTCGCATTCGTTATCTACGGAGTTTTAAAAGAGGACGTAACGTATTGTTCACTGCGAGACGCGCTACCTTTAGTTCTCCTTAGATACAACAATTTTTTCCTTTTTATTCCTTGAGCGTAAGCAAAGGAAGTATTGTAATCGAGTCCGTCGGCTGATTCTCTACTTTTACGTTTTCTCGATCTTTCATGACCCCTAGAAGACGAAGAAATAGGTCTCCCATTTCCGTCTGTCTGTCCGTCTGTCTGCCGTCCCGGATTTTTATTAGACAGATAATCTCCGAAAGTACTTGACCGATTGTTGTGAAATTTTGTACATATATTAGGAATATCATGTAGATGGTAAAACTCTAACCAAAATTTGTCTAATCATCCTCACCACTAATGCGATGACGTCACTTCAAAATTGTACATAGTAAATGGGTTTTAAATTGTATAAAATAACATAGTCCTACATATGTAGTTTACGAGTCCGAATTGAGTTTTTACCCGAAACGTCCAGATTTTAGGAAAAAAAATCAAAATTATAAAACAACATTTTGCAATTTAATTTTGAATTTGCTATCCGAATGCTTTGAAATGTTGCAGATATTTTAAGGCTATAAAGAGCATCATAAATCTTTAGTCAAAATATATTTGGTTATCCCCTCCAAAAACCTGATGACGTCAGCTCAAAAGTTTGCCGAATAAATCCGATCTAAAATGTACAAAATATGATGAGTTTGTACTTGTGATCTATCACTCCATTCATATTTTTTTGATTTGCATATACAGGGTGACCAAAAAAATTAATGAGGGCGGGAATTTATTTTATTGATTTACTCAGGAACAACAAAACCGAATGCTTTGAAATCTACTGCGAAAAAAAAACATAATAGGCATGTAGTCGTCACGTTTCCGACAGCGAGGGAAGTACTGTCTAAACTCTATGATAAAATGACATCAATGTAGATGTCTTATACGTCAAACTGCAGCTTGTTTCATGTTCTAAACCCCTGAAAATAGTTCAATCAATCAAAAAAATGTGACACAGAATGTTGCCCCTCTGCATCAATGGCATCGAAAAACATTGTTATTTATCTCCAGGCATGTTTGTTCAAATCTTTGTTTTTTATTCTTTCAAAGATTTGTTTTCATCATTATAACGTTTTATGGAATTTATCTAAAAATGTTTTAATACTGAAGTTCCTTTCTCGTAATTATACAGAGTGTTTTACATGTTAAACCACACAATTGTTATACCATATTATTCTCTTGTAAACTGAATCTCTTTTGTAAATAGTCATTTCCAAATTAAATATAGCTATTCATTTAAGTAAAATGCATATACTTGAAGTATTCCCTTTGTCCAGTCACTAGAATGTGTTACCATCATTACGAAGCAACCTACGAACAAATAAATAATATTTTCACTATATGTCGGACACAAGGACCACGACAAGAATTTCATATCTAACAAACTAACGAAAGTTAAATTTGAAAATCTGTCAAGCAGGTCACAATGGATTCTTTTTACATAATTTGAGTAAATGTCTAAATGCACTGCAATTAAAACATCGCGAAACATCTACAGCGTCATTAATAGTACATCCGTTCAAACCAACCAATGACCAACGCTTATTGCTTTCTTGTAAGTTGATAAATCAAGTTCAAGAATGGCCTGGAAAATGGATTTTTTTTCTTGTGATTATTTCTTATGGCCTCATTTTAAAAGTACAATTTTTCAAACCCCGATTGCAAATCTTGAGGACAACAAAGAATTGAACAAACATGGTTGGAGGAATCTTTAGGTTGGGAATTTCTAAGCTAATCATAATCGGCCTTTCAAAATTGTATATGAAAACGAAAATGATGCGAGAGAAATATTAAGATCTAATAAAAGTAATAATAACCGATACCGACACTTTCGCCCCGATTTAACAACTAAACAAAGAGAACATATAAACATCGTCAAAAAAGAATTGAAAGATAGAGCTGCAAAAGGTGAATCGAATTTAATTTTGCGATATAGGCATAATACTCCATATATTGTTAAGAATAACACGTCCAGAAAAACTCGTAGCTCAAAAAACTAATTAGTTGCTATTATCACAATGTTGGCGGACTAGAATCTAAATTGGATGAATTTGTTGTTAATGTTAATGCGTGTGTTTGTGACATAATTATAATAAGTGAATCTTGGTTAAGTAACAAAATTAAAAATGAAGAAATTCCTCTCCATAATTTTGACATTTACCGTGCAGATCGTAATATAAAAACAAGCACCAAATCTAGAGGCGGGGTATAATAATTGCGGTTAAAAAATGTTTAAATTCCTCAGTTATTTTCATAGGCGAATTAGTGGAAAGTCTTTTTATTAGTTTTAGAACAAATGGGTCTAGTTTCATTATTGCTGGTGTTTATATTCCTCCTGAGTCTGATTTCAATATATATAAGTCTCATTGAGTCATTGCAAAGACGTAGAGAATGTGTTTCAAAAATATTCTGACTACAATTTCATTATTGCAGGTGATTTTAATTTACCTCGTGTTAAATGGGCAGAAAAGGGTACAATCGGATACAGGTTTGCCTGTTCTAATCATGACTGCTATGATATTGTTCTAAATACGTATTCTTTCCTAAACTTTGCTCAACTAAATACAATTCCTAACGATCGAAATGTTTTTCTTGACTTAATTTTTACCAATATTACTGATTTAGAAATCATTCCTGCCATTGATCCTATACTTGGTGATAGTTTACACCACATTTCTTACTCTTGGTCGTTATCTACTGCACAAACTGAAAATTTAGAAACGGAATTTTGTGTGTACAATTTTATGAATGGCAATTATCCTCTTCTAAATGATTATTTTGCTTCCATATGCTGGGACAAATGCTTTGAAGGCCTTGGATTAGACGAAATGGTAGCAATCTTGTACGAAATTTTAAGTGTTGGTATGGAAACTTACATTTCACGAAAAATTATAAAGACAAAACCTTCCAGATATCCTAAATGGTTCAACTCAGAATTGAAAACTCTATGTCATAAGAAAATTAAAGCACATACTAAATTTAAACAATCTGGAAACCTACAAGATTATTTGTATTTTAAGAGTCTAAGATCTCAATGTAAAAAACTCTCTAAAGAACTTTACAAACTTTATGTAAGCGAGGTTAATGCTTCTATTATCAGCAATCCTAAATTTTTTTGGAAATTTGTTCGTGAGAGGAAGACCAGTAACAATAATGTTCCAAGCGAGATGTCGTATTTAATAATGAATCAGTGACTGGAGGCAAAGGAATTTCCAATTTATTCGCCAAATTTTTTTCATCTGTTTACACCACTAATAGTTCTTCCAATTTAAAGTGGAATGATTATTTTATTGAAGAAGTTTTAGATGTGGCTTTATCAGTTGGGATCAAGGACATATTCGATGCAATCTCCTCTCTTAACAATTCTCCTGTTACAGGCCCTGATGGTTTGAGCAACTTATTTTTAAAAAAGTGTGTATGCACCCTATCTGTGCCATTGCTTGTAGTATTTACCAAATCTTTGAACATGGGTAAGTTTCCCGAAATATGGAAATTGAGTTATATCAAACCTATTTTTAAAAATGGTCATCGAAAGGAGGTAAAAAATTATCGAGGTGTTTGTAATCAGTCAAGTGTTCCTAAAATCTTTGAGTCCATTATTGCAAAACAACTCCAGTGGATAGCCTCAAGGGTACTTACAAATCAACAGCATGGTTTTTGCAAAAACAAGTCAACTCTGTCTAACCTATTGGATTATTATTCATTTCTCAACGAGTCCTTTACAAAGAGAGCCCAAGTTGACTCTATTTATACTGATTTTGCGAAAGCGTTTGATCGAGTAGATCACAATGTTATGATTTTGAAATTGCATAAACTTGGCTTCATTTCTAACAGACAGATGGCAACAAGTTAAAATTGGCAACTATCTTTCCGATCCGTTTAAAGTTACATCTGGTGTTCCACAGGGTTCCCATTGTGGCCCAGTTTTATTTCTTTTGTTTATTAATGACTTAAGTCGTTGCTTTAAATTTTCCAAGTTTCTTTTTTATGCCGATGATCTCGAAATTTTTAAAACAATTACGTCTGTAAAAGATTGTCAAGAATTACAAGCAGATTTAGATCATGTTTTTCATTGGTGTGAATTAAATTTTTTAAGTCTCAATTTAAATAAGTGCTGTCACATTACTTTTTGTAATAAAAATTCTTCTATAAAATTTGATTACAATATTGGTAATTCTATTCTCGCGTCGGTTAACGAAATAAAAGACCTTGGTGTAATTTTTGATTCTAAACTTTCATTTAAGAATCATTATCAGTACATATCCAACAAATCTATACAAATGTGGGGATTTATTTGGCTGCACTGTAAAGATATGAGTTCCTATGCA